ATTCCTGAGAGGCCGCAGCATGTTCTCTCGTCAATTTCGAAATTAATCGACTTCCTCATGCATTTTCAAAATATCTAATTTCCAAACTGACTGCACTGACCCTTGTATAACTTACAGTGTTTGATTTGATGGTACTTCATACAAGGTTGAGAACAGAAATCAGGCCTTCCACCTTTAAAAGGTATTTTATAAATCTCAATTTAAAAATGTTTGGAGAAACGTTAGGAATAAGACTATCAATTGGGACTTTAATACACCTTTTCATGGTTTAGTTAAGCCTATACAATGTACATGTACACCAGCACAGTTGATTCACAATATTACTGTAAAAAGATCAAGGATTAATTAAAGCAAACGTGACTGTGCTGTCTTTCAAATTCAAACTTCAGAAAAAAAAACTTTCAAACTCAGATCTTGACATTAATCAAAACATTGATTTGGTGCAATTTTGCAAAACCTAAGTTGAGTCAGGGGCATCAATCGCTTCTCAAAAGTGGGGGGGGGGACATACCTTGATCAGAACTGATGCGCGCGCGAAACACGAAGCCCTAACGGCGTGGGGTTCGGGGCCCGCTTAAGGGCCCCGAACAAAATTGGATTCTAGATGCTCTGTGGTGTGATCTGAAGCAATTTCTTTCCACTTTTCTCCATGCTTTAACTAATATTTTCGTAGCAAAAGATACTTATTGAACATCTTTTTCGAGGTTGGAGTCATTGAATTGGCTACCAGAATTCTGAGCTACAGGCGTGGGGTCTCGGGGACACGAGTTCAAAAATCTGGGGGGGGGGGACATTTGATGTTGTGTCCCCCACCCTTCAAAAAGTGGGGGGCGGGGGACATGTCCCCCTGTCCCCCCCCCCCCCCCCAGGATCGATGCCCATGAGTTGAGTTGATGCTGATGAGGTAGGGTTCTTTTAATGTGTTAACAAAATCTTAAAATTTGTAATTAAGTGGAATCAGGTAATTTCAATCATTAAAATGACCTTCAATCAATTTATTTTGCAAAAAAAAGAAGATTTTTACAAAACAATGATTTAAATCAGTCATTTAAATCAACGAGATTTAAATTAGCCATTCAACCCTGTACGAGAGGCCTCAGTAACCTACTATTCACTACATACTTTATCACTTAAAAATTTCGTTATAAAATTGTATTGTCGCTATTAAATTATTGTTGTTGCTCGTGGTCTTATTAGTAAACATACCGAAATTCGTGGGAAAAAATGGCAAGGGAATATTGGGTTAATAGGGCACATTTAAGTTTGAAAATTCTTGTGCACAAGTCTATGGGGATGTCTCCGAAATGTGTTATCAACGGCAATTGTTATTATTATTATTAACAGCAGCAGCAGCAGCAGCAGCAGCAGCAGCAGCAGCTGACATTAACGAGACGTTAAAAAATCACACTCCTCAAAAAAGGGATACTCGTGAAAAAAGGGCACTCTCGAAAAAAAAGGTCGCTTGTGAAAAAAGGGCACTAGTGAGAAAATATTGCGGGAGCTAGGGGGTTAAAATACCCCCTTACTCCCCCCTACGCCACTCCTTGGGTTCCTTTCACTGATCTATGTAATTATAAAGATTCGGAGTTTTACCAGTTCGCCCCTGTCTTGCAAAAATGGCCGCCAATATACTATAATATAATTATAGGCATAATGCATATGTTCTGTTCATCGAAAAGACAGTTATAGTTAAAAATTAGAAATGTGGCCCATCAAATAATTATATGGACTTATACCCCAGGTGAAAATTCCAGTTGAAACCAGTTACAATTTCAACTGGTTTTAACTGGGATTAACTGGGATTAACTGGTGTCCAACTGGTACCTGTTCGATTCAACTGGTTTCAACTGGTAGCTCAACTGGATTCAGCAAAACCAGTTGAAACCAGTTGAACTTACCAGTTACCAACTGGCAATTCTTGTTGTGCCAACAGGAACCAGTTGAAACCAGTTGAAAAAAGAGTTTATCAACTGGCAATTCTTGTTGTGTCCACAGCCAGTTGAAACATGTTGAAGAAACCATGGCAATTCTTGTTGTGCCATATCAATTAACTGGAACCAGTTGAAACCAGTGTTAAGAAACCAGTTATCAACTGGCAATTCTTGTGGTGTTAATAGGAACCAGTTGAAACCAGTTGAATTAGCAACCAAACTGGTCACGGTAGTGGTATCCAAGTGTCAACATGTTCTGGACCAGTTGAAACCAGTTAACGTACCAGTTGCAGAAACCAGTGTCAACAGGAAATTTAAAACCAACAGCTATAGGGCCCGGACCATCAACAATTGAAACCAGTTGATGGAACCATCCCAGTGGGCACATGACGTTGTTTCAACGTTGAATGTTGGTTGAAATGACGTCACGACGTCGAAATACCGTAAAACAACGTTATTTCAACGTCACTTTTGCGACGTTGATTTTATGTTACAGTTTGACGTTGTTTCAACGTCGAATAAATGTTGAAATTGCGTCGCGATATTATCAACCTAAATTCAATGTCTATCCAACGTCGGTTTTGTAACGTTGTTCCAACGTCCATATTTCGACATTAATCCAACATTGAATGTTAGTTGAAATTGCGTCGCGATATTATCAACCTAAATTCAATGTCTAGCCAACGTCGGTTTTGTAACGTTGTTTCAACGTCCATATTTCGACATTAATCCAACGTTAAATGTTGGTTGAAATTGCGTCGCGATATTATTAACCAAAACTCAATGTCTATTCAACGTCGGTTTGGTAACGTTGTTCCAACGTACATATTTCGACATTAATCTAACGTTGGATAAATGTTAAAATTGCGTCGCGATATTAACAACCTAAAATTAACGTCTCTCTGACGTCGGTTTGGTAACGTTGTTCCAACGTACAGATTTCGACATTAATCTGACGTCGAATAAAAGTTTAAATTGCGTCACGATATTGACAACCGAAATTCCATGTCTATTCAACGTCAGTTTGGTAACGTTGTTCCAACGTACAGATTTCAACATTAATCTGACGTTGAATATGCGTTTAAATTGCGTCACGATATTAACAATGTTAAATTCAATGTCTATCAATCGTCAGTTTTGTAATTGTTCCAACGTATTTTGACATTATTCTGATGTTGGATAAATGCTTAAAATTGCGTCGTGATAACGACCTAAATGTACCAACGTCGGTTTGGTAAACTTTGTTTAACATACGGATTTTAATTAGTCCAAAGTTGAAAAAATGTCGAAATTAAGTGCGTCGCAATCAAACATATTGCATTGCTTTGAAATTGAGTATCCTCGCGGTTACTTCAACGTCAGTCCTGCTGTATCAATTAACGTATAATTTTAACTATCAAAGTGCAAAATATTATGTCAAGAAATATAAACAAAATAGCCGACTTAATTGAACTTTGTGGCCTTTTTTATGAAAACATATTATTTGTCAGCACGCCAAAGCTGTGACGCTAGCCAATCACACGGCGCGTAATTTGTTCTACATTCCAAGGTTGTGACGCTGGCCAATCAGTTTTCATGTACTCTCTTTGAATCACGATATGGCGCGCAAGCATATGACCGTTACATATTTCGACATCATACTGCAGTTGTGTGGACGTGTAGCGTGCAGCCGACATCATTTTACTCAAATAACAGGTAAGAATTTTGCCATCAAAATTCGTAGTTATTGTTATGATGTTGCTTAGACATACCTGACGTTTATTCGAAGCACTTACTTATTAATTGCAACCAATTTCTCCCCAAAACGATAAACAAATATTGACACATCACTGGGGTCGGGGACACTGGCATGCATGGTCACTGATGATACCGGCGTCCGGTACGTATGGGAACCAGGTCGACCGCATGCATCCCGGCACTCGGAACAGTGTATTGCTGAGCTGTACTAAAACGGGTTCAATGGGAAAGTAGTGAGAGAAATCCTGAGAAATAATCCTCCATTGGCGTTTTGAACTGTACAGTATAATGGACGTGTGACTTAAACTTTCCGAGACGATATTGTTACCATGAATAAATGTGGCTCAATTACTGGATTTCCTTTGTATTGAAAAGTTGTTTCTGAGGAAATAGAAATTGCATTTTTTTTCACTTGGTAGACCTTATGGACATGAAATGCATGATGATGAAATGTACTTAAGCCTACCTGGTTAAAAAAAATAATAACCAGGAAAAATATAATTCGATTTTCTGCACTGTAGAGTTTCAGTTTTCATGTAATTTTCAGGCTAAAAAGTAAAAATGGATCGTCCAAAAGTGATTGTAGAATGGAATGCAGTATATTTTCTCGAGGTCAATTACTGCCATACTGGATTTCTTCGTACAGCTACACAGCGGTGATAGGTCGTGGGTCATGTACATTATACCGTTTTACTTCCCCTGATTATTAAACCAGGTGGGTTATCTTCCATAGGGAATAGGCCTATCAAGTGGGGGATAAACACTCCCGATTTCGATTTCACATGTTGCTATCACCACCCCGGTGCTCTTGTACATGTACAAGTCACAAAACGGAGGAAGTTGCTGGGTAGTTCCTTGATCCTTTGTGTAAAACTAAAAGTTGCTGTGACAATAGTGAGAATGCATAACACAAATTTCTGTATCAAAACTTTAGGTAAATGCAAGCATGGATAATTATACCGCTGTTTGTAGCCTGTGCTGTGAATGGTGCAATAACAAAATGGACTCACGGTGCAGGGAGTGAGTAATTACGTAAATGTATTGGCCTAAGTAATCAATCATTGCATAGGCAGGTGGTATTTCTACATAAACTTGTTTTTGTTTTGTGTAGATACTAGACATGGTTTGCATATTTTTTGGGGAGTATGCAGAGTCTAAGTTTGGCAGGTAGGACAGGTAGGGTAGTTAATCTCACTTTTTCAGCTTCTGAAGAAAAAAATCCTTTTCAAAATTCCAGGAGAGTTTACAAGACCTCACAGATGACGAAACCCCACTCAGCAATGATTCATACAGGAATTGAGGAGGAGCCAAAGTCAGCATGGATTGTCGAATCAGTATGGAGGAGTTATGTATGACTTTCGAAGATGCTTCAGTTTGAAATCTTTCGGACAGTACTCGCAGTGCCGTAGCTGGTATGTATATGCCGACAAAAAAAAAATTCAGGGCTAAGTTTTATGGCAAAAACCGATTATTTTATTCTTAAGTCAATAACACTTGCAGAGATGTAGCTCTGATTGCAGTCATCGCACATAAAAAAAGTGGTATTCAAATCCATTTCTACTTGTGCGAACAACAGACACAATGGCCAGTTCATTCAAAACGTTAACAAAACGCAAAAATGAAAACAGATTTGTGGCTATATCTTAATTGAGTGTTGGCAGAAGTTTCGTCACAGTGCATTGTATAATAACTTGTGTTTGTTTACACTCTTCCGTTATCTTTTTTCCTGATGGGTCTTTGCTTTTGTCTCTGAGCGTTGTTTTTTTCTCATCCAACAGGTGCATGACCAAGTGATTGAAGACAGTTCAACAATGATGGGCAGAGTGGAACTGAAAAAAAGCAGATGAGGAGACGGACCTTTTCAGTTTCGCAGGTAATGTAATTTTCTTCGCCAGATTTAATTTATTTTGACCAATTATTGATCTTGGTTAAAATCTCATTGTGTGGTACTTGGTTGTATGGTTGATAATTGCTGAAGTGTCAGGAAATACAAGTGGTAGTTTTTATAAGTGCAAGTTTATTAAAAGGAATCATTCTGTTGATTTTTTGTACACAATGTCAGCACATAAAATGATGACCAAACGTGTTGTCGCTTTGTTGAAACTAATATGGTTTATGTATGTATTTCTCTTTGTTTGTGTTTGTAACATTTTCGTTTTTGAGGGTGATTTGGTTGTGTCAATGAATAAAGAGATGGTTGGGGAGGAAGCTTGCAATTCTAAAATATTACACTATCTTTTATTTGTCTTTTCTAGCGAGGTCTAGTAACTTCGTAATCGGGCAAGGTGATGGATGTTGCTGCTTGTTGAGTTTTTCATCTCCTGTCAAGTTTGCGCCTGAAAGAAGAGGTGATGGAGGGACACACTGAGGGCCCATGCACCTTCACATTCAGTCGTACCTTTGGACTGTGTTAAATATTTCAATATTGGAACAGTTGATTAATAGTAATTGTTCAAATACAGTAAGTTGCTCTGGAGTGGCTGGTATCTTTCCGTAAGTGTAACAGGTAAAGGCTCTTTAAGTGATGGAAATTCAACCTCTGCCGCATCTTGTACTTTTCATCTTGAAACTTCCACGTTCGAGAAGTGGGGGACTGTTATAATAATTATATACAGTACATGTATTGTGCATTATTTAGTTATTACTGTTGATTCTTGGTTGACCTGTTCAAATGTTCAATTGAATCATTTAGATTAATTTTGTATGAATGATGCTGTTTGTTTTATTATTTTCTATTTGATAGTTTCTAATGCTCTTGCCCAAGTCTGCCGCATAACCTCTTGCAATATTTCACAAGAAAATTCATAGATATGATAGAATAGTGCTGCAGGTAAATTTGGAAAACTAATATGAATTGTATGCAAATGAAAAAAAAAGTGAATTTAGACGTTTAAAAATTGTACCTGTATGCTTGTTAATTCGTGTTATATTTCCGATGTAAATGCACTGGGCAGTGCTGCATTTCTTTGAAAAAAGAATCAAATTCATTATCATGTATCTTTTTAGAGACTAGTACCCTCGTTTAGGCTATAATGCTGTTGGAACAAGTCAATCTAATTCTGAATTTTACTATGTATGGATTAATTACTACTTTGTTGAAACCTAAAAGGTGTTGTATAAGCTGATAAGGTTGGAAGTTAATTAATAAATACACACATTTTTTTATGGAAAAAATACCCTCGTTTAGGCTATAATGCTGTTGGAACAAGTCAATCTAATTCTGAATTTTACTATGTATGGATTAATAACTACTTTGTTGAAACCTAAAAGGTGTTGTATAAGCTGATAAGGTTGGAAGTTAATTAATAAATACACACATTTTTTTATGGAAAAAATTAAAGTGATTGATAAAGAATTTCATTTAAATTTAAAGTTATTCAATTTCGACATGGATTTAACAACACTCCTCAGCTTGCAAATTTATTTAACATAGAACGATTGGAAAAATGCCAACATCCACCATTATCAGTACATTCTGGCTTTAAATCTTAACACAAACCTTAAAATATTTTGATTCAAGAATTGCATTTATTTAACTGTGATATTTCTAAGAATAGGATGTCATTTAATGTTGATTATTTATACGTTGATTGAACATCATGTCAGTGCTATTTTAATGTAGAGATGTCGACGTTAAATCAATGTTGAAATGTCTACGTTAACTCAACGTTGTGATCTTAACGTTGTTTCAATGTCGACATTTCCACGTCGCTTCAATTTGCAAATTCAATCATTAATCAACGCTGAATCAACGTAGAATCTCCGACATTAAATCAACGTTGACATATCTACGTTGATTCAACGTCATGCTTTCCACGTTGGTTTAACGTCAGCATAATAACGTCAGATCAACTTGCAAATTCAATCATTAATCAACGTTGAATCAACGTAGAATGTCCGACATTAAATCAACGTTGAAATATTTACGTTGATTCAACGTTGTGCTTTCCACGTTGGTTTAACGTCAGCAAAACAACGTCAGATCAACTTGCAAATTCAATCATTAATCAACGTTGAATCAACGTAGAATTTTCAACATAAAATCAACGTTGAAATGTTGACGTTGATTCAACGTCGGCATTTCAACGTCAGAAAAACTTTCAAATTCAATCATTATTCAACGTTAGTTCAACGTCGGAAACTGACGTTGTTTCAACGTTATTTCAACGTATTTTGCCCACTGGGATATAAATGGAAAAAGTTATTACCAGCTGTTAATTATTTGCCATTTGCTCATGTTATATATATTTTTTTGCTTTGCGGTAGATGGTCGATCATTAATTGTTTTTCAGTTTTGAGCTTATAATTGAGAACATGATTCAAGACTGCACATCATGTTTGTCGCGGTTGCGGTTCAATAATATGATGGACTCTTCCCCCCCCCCAACCCGTGCAGCGATATACTGTATGGGAATGCATTGTACATGTACATTCCACACAACATATATATACTGTACATGTACATGTATATGACTTACACTGTCCAGTCTTGCGCAAGGTCACTTCATGCCCTTTGACACACGTACTATAGTGGTCAGCACACAGCATATACTGTACATGTAAATATGACCTTGCCTCAACCAGAAAAACCGTTAGGCCACATTGCGCTAGCCTGCATGCAGTTCAGTTCTACTACTCATTCAAAATGGTTAAAGACGGAGCAGGCACAAATGTATCGTCTTCTCGAAAAAACACTGATTACATGTATTTGTATTCAGTTCCAAATCCGCGTCCAAAAGCATCACACATGTCTGTAAACATACAGCTTATTAGTCAGAGTTAATATTCCTGCAGCACCATGGTCTTTGCGGAATGGGAGATAGTTTGGACAGAACCTTTCGTTTCTGGAGCCCTGTTCTTTCAAACCTACAGTTTGTTGTAGGCCTTACTGGTAAGTTTGTACTGAATGTTTCAAATACCCAGCTCTTTTTTTATTCGTATCCGTTGTACAGCATTGATTCTGTCACATTTGTACTACATTTTATGTTTGATATCATTATTTGCTTAAACATGCTTAAGCTTTGTTTGTGATCAGCTGGCCATGCTGGTGAGAAAATAAAGCTCATAGTCATATCCAAGCATTATACATTTTGTACATTTACTAGCACGACTAGTTCTACATAATACTCGAAGCAGTCACAATGAGGAATACATGTATATGAGTTTGGACTCCTGGTTAATTCTGTCGTATTCCCATAAAATGCAAGAAACAGCACACCTTTAATAATTTCAGGGATCAGGAAAGTATTGCATAAAGCAAGGTAAATGAAATATTGGTGGTATTAGGATACAAATTAATTGCGGATCACAATTTCTTCGGCATTGCAGAAGTTACCCAGCTAACACATTCACGTTGTAACAACGTTGCAAAAAGGTCACGTTTTCGTGGCGGCAACGTTCAGAAAATTACGTTGCGGCAACGTAAAAATGTTGACTCGCGTGCACGTTGCCACAACGCTATTACACAACGTTTAAAAGACGTTATAAAAACGTCAATGAAACATTTATTACAACGTTTTCAGTACACGATCCTGCAACCCTCCAGCAACGTAATTGTCACCTTTATACAACGTCTTGGCACGTAAATGCAACATGATTACGACATGATTACCACCATGACGGAACGTTACTGCAACTTAATGGCCACTTAAAATAAACATTTATACAACCTTGTGGGGACATGATTACACCATGATTGGCACGTTACTGCAACTTTTATTAGGACGTTCCTGCAACCTTATAGGCACGTCACGACAACTCTTTTGCCACGTTAATGCAACTTGTTGGACATAACTACAACCTGATAGGCACGTTTCTGCAACCTTTATGGGGACGTTCCTACAACCTTATGGGCACGTCAGGGCAACTTTTTGGCCACGTTAATGCAGCTTGTAGGACACATTATTGCAACTTCATGGCCACGATGTGGGGACGTTTCTACAACCTTAATTGTTAGCACGTCAATGACTCATTACAGACGTTACTGCAACTAAGTCAACACGTTCCGGTAACTTTGTGGGCACCTCACAACTTTTCAAAAACGTTCACGCAACTTATTAGATACATCACTGCAACTTTGTGGGGACCTTGTAGCAACATTGTTCCTGGCACGGTTAATTAACGAAACTAATCGTGCAACGACGATATACCTGTCTGCAAACAATAAAAAAAAAACAAATTAACCATCAGACTTACTGTTACTACATTTATTACAAAGAATGTATCCGGTGAATGCATGGAAGCAAACCTTCGTCAATCATTATTATTACAAAGCTAGTATAAATCTGATATAACAGTACAATGTCGCTTTCAGTTCGCCTATTTAAAAATAACACATTAAAGCCTCTTGATTCAGTTAGAAAACCAATGATCTAGTTTTGTGTGTGTTTTTGCTGGGAAGCAGGAACAGTAAAACAGATTGCCCGCCAACGGCATTATTTTGTCAGTTTCCCTTCAAAACGATAGAGTGTCAGATTTTGTTCATATAATTATACATGTATTCATCTTCAGCAAGGATGGGCACAAGTCTATTTATATGCATACATTAACCTTTAGCAAGGATTTAAATGTCCTGAAATTGCTAAGCTGGGCAGGCGTACATCTCCGGGTGACTACCAGTTATGCTATAAGTAACTTTAACGTAAAATATTATTCTTCAGGCAACGTGGGACTGAGTTTTCTGACAACATATTTTATGTTTTCTGTTATTTTTGAGTTTCATCCCGAAAACACAATTGGTTTTTAAACATTGCTATCTTAGTAATTCAAAAGTTACACAATTTGAACGAACTTTGTCAACAAAAATATCAGGACGGTTTTACTATTGGCAAGTAAGTTTATATAATTTAACTGTTTGCGTTCTCATTCGAGTCAATCTCATATCCGTTTAGAATCGATTATACAATGAAAAGGGACATCATGAACCAGTCTACTTGCATAGTGGATCTGCGCGGCCTAAAATGATAAAACCTCCTATTTTTCCCCAATATACAATGCTCCCTCCCAAAAAAAAAGAACTAATAATACTTTCTTCATCACCATTAATTAGTCATTGGGGCTTCACCTTATATTTCTTTGGTTCTCATTTTTTAATCGACCCTATTTTGGGATATTTTTTCCGCCGACAATTTCCAAAACCCCATTCACAGACCATTTTTTTTCCAAAATTAAAAAACAAAGAATATTGCATTCGAGCAACTAGCTCTGTGTTATTCTGAAATGTTATTTAAATTGAATATCATATTTTTTTCTCGACTTGAAAATTACGGCTTACGGAAATCAGAGGAAGAAAGACAGATGAGAGAATTTTGCCTCTCATTATAATATTGCTGCCCCTACAACTAAATTGTTAATGAGATGCTTCGTCCAGACATTACTGTAAGTCGTCTATAATTGGCCAAAATGTTTTTTTTTAAATTGTATTCAGTGATATCAAATCATGATAAACTTATTGCATCATTTAGTTTACCATCTTTACGAGTGCAACTTTAGTTCAGATTGTTATTGCTTTTTGACTGACCGACTAGGCTTCATATAAGGGCAAATAACTACGGAGATAAATAGGGAATCCCTAATAGGCCTACAAGAAAACAAATTTTGAAGAGCACGAACGATGCACTTATTTTCACGCAAAAGATGCAGTGTCGTTATTCATCATCTGCAGGGTTTGCAGGGTCGACAGGGTCAGCGGGCTGAACAGCGTTGGCAGGGTTGGCAGGATTCTGCACACACACACAAAATAGAAAAAAATAAATGTAAAGATTTTGCCAGATGGTGGACAGCCGATGATGACCAACCGACTTATTTTTGGATTATCTGTCACTTCTTTTTGGATCATTATTGTGCATGAGAAGGTGAACAAAATGTACTGACATTTCATTTTTGTGTTCCGCAAGCGTACTGCGATTAATGCTTCAAAGGCAATTCTGGTAAAGAGTACACTATCTGCAAACAACTTCCAGTGTACAAGTTTGTATATCTTGGATAGATATTACACTGTTGTCTTCAGCCACTAGTGTGAAGTCGACATTAAGATAACTTTGCCTTATATAAAAGAGTTGTTTTCTTACTCTGTAGGCCCAGGCCTACTTGTTAATTTTACAGGCAACTTAAATACTGTTCACAGTAATTTGGTGTAATTAATATTACCCTGAATCTTGTCCCTCCGGGCTTGTTAGTGGGGCAAACTTCCAGAATGAAGCTATGTCCTCCCCTCGCCTTGGCCTCCGCTACTCGACGAGTTGTCATGCAGGCCCCTAATAGATGATAGAAACCATGAGTTTAATGCTATATCAAAATGTACACGAGAAACTACCGACATTTTAAAAGGAAACAGCAATTCGTCTTTTCGACCAAGGTGTATTTTCAACACATTAAAAGTTAATTTCACCATCTTACAGAGATACATGTATAAAAAGGTCATGTATGTTGAATTACTTACAGCAACAACCTTGAAGAGATGTATGGGTTGGTCTTCAAAATAATTAGAAACTTCTTCCCTCGAAGACTGCTGAAGTTAAAAGTTAAAACATGCCACATCCAGCAGCCAGTGCACTCACGTATAGCAAACCTGTGTACTGCCTACCTGGAGAAAGTACATAAACGATGTTTGTTAAGGTTGAGTAATATGTAAAACTAATAAAGTTTGAACACAGTATAAATATGATGTCCCCGTGCTCTTCAACCCACATAATGTCTTATTTTTCACACACAAAAACTAGTCTACAAATGACCCTAGTTTTAGAAAAGGCTTTTATAGTTCAAGTATTTTTCATTGATCTTGTAACAGTGCTGACCTGGCCCTGAACCCTACTCCATACACTTTGGTCAAACTCCCATAAATCACGCCAAACCCTGGGAGCTATACAGCCCGAAAGCCCGGATTGAAACTGTATACACTTGTTATGTACAAGCCAACGAAAGCCAGATGACCGTTTATACGTGTACAGTCCTGGTACGTGAACTTTAGGCCTGACCCTTGGGACTGAAATGCTAATGCGCGTTGCTATTAGTATTACAACCGTACACTGTGTCTTTGAGCGGGAATTTTATAACGGACTGTTTATGCTTAAATTTGCGCTAGTTTTAGTTGAGAGAAAATCAAATCAGATCTATAAATTAAGAGATACCCCAGGTAACAATTTCACGGTTGTTGGCTCGGGTATCATGGGTATCTCAATACAATATTGTTACAGTTTGATTAATTCATCAATTTGAAAAAAAAAATACAAACATAAGCCTATACTATAGTACACAAATCAAAAGTCTTCTCGATATAATGTATACACTTCCAACATTTTGCCATTTGCTAAAACAATATCTGTTTTATCTGAAGTTATAACTATCGAACAAATAACTTTCCAACCTAAAGTGTTGTTAAAAAGCTCTAACATGTCTCACATGAATTCGAGTAAATCTGATCCACATGTATATTATTTCCTTGGAATATTACCAAGATTTTATTATTAAATTGAAAACCAGATGAATTGAACGTTTCTTTCAGTGTATGATCCTCCAAAACTGTTCGCATTGACGAGACCCCAATCTCATGAGGCACATATTTTCACTCTTAATTAATCTACATTTATTCTGATCGAGTCTGAAGAACATTTTCAACATTTATAAAAAAAAAAAACCAAGATGATAGGCATAGGAAAATCTTCATTTTTTTACAGCGACTTTGTTCGAAAAGTTGTTTTACTTTAATTTGATCCAATATCTTCAGATTTTTAGACAATGTGTTCGACACAAGAATGAAGCCAAGATACAGAAAATGTCATTCCTACCTTCTAAGAAATGCTGTAGTGAAAATAACTTGCTTGGTGACCATGGCTAATTCACATCAACTGGACGGCGAGTCGGCGACCGTTATACTAGTGGGCTGCTGCTGCTAGATCGCTGACTCGACTGAGCAGAGCGATTCAAATCAGCTATCACGCGGTCTGGACGTGGAATTTCTGCTGACGCGCATGCGCCATGGTAATATTTTCTTTGAGAACAGGAATCATATTTCAAGTTACGTTGGTGTGTGCAATAAATATATACATTGAGTATACAACAATGAATATGAGCGGGAAACAGTCGCGCTTTGACCACGATCTCATCCATCTTAGACCATTAGAAAAATATATGAAAACATTATATTCCTACTACGACAAAACAAACATGATGATGTTCAAAATTTCATGAGTTACATTATTAATGCAAGGCGGCACCCAAATATTAATTATTATCAAATAAAACATCATTAATTAAAACATTATGTTCACTTCACATTTAGTAAATCGTAATCACAATGTTTTTGTCAATACCACAACAGCATGGATCATAACCCACAGCATAATTACAACTTAAATTCAGTGTCAAAACACCTTTATAAAACGTTACAGCAACGTGAGGTTCACAACAAAGCAGCAACGCTGTGAAAATACCAAACTGCAATGTCACGACAACATGATATTTACAACTTAACAACGACATTATGATGAGACTTTTATGCAACGTCATCATAACGTCATGAACACAGCAACGTGGTGTAAATTTTTATCTACAACGTCATGACAACGTGAGATTGACAACATACCAACAACGTTGTGAAAGTACCCACATACAATGTTACAACAACGTCATGATTATTACATCACAGCAACGTTTTGAAATACCAAACTACAACGTCGTGTCAACGTGATTTTCACAACTGAAAAAAACGTTATAAAATAACGTAGATGGAACGTTAACTCAACGTCATGATTATAACCTCACAGCAACGTTGTAAACATTCTTAATTACAACGTTATGACAACGTAACATTGACAACTTAAAAACAACGTCATGAAAACACCTACATTCAACATAACCACAACGTCATATTTATTACTTTATTACAACGATTGTGAAACGACCACCATACAACGTCAATACAATGTCATATGATGACTTTCGTACAACGTTGTACAAATTACCGATATACAACATTTTTACAACCAACAATTATACAGTCAAACGTTGTGTCAACGTTGCTTGAATGTCATCGTGACACGTTACCAAATGACAACATTTTCACAACTTTGCACAACGTTGTGGCAACGTGATGTGTTAGCTGGGTAATCAGGTTACTTTTAATAATGTTAAGACTGAACATATTAAAAGCAAAATCCTGACAAAGTGGTGGTTTCTGAAAGTACAACTAGAGCTGTCTTATTCAGCCCAGACCATCTTTGTTCTTAAGGGTTTTTTGGAGGGTTTGCTTTTCTTACTTTTTAATTTGTTTTTGGTTTGTTCTCAATGACAGGGAGCCATGGACACAATGGAACAGTCAATCGATACGTGAGGAGAGGAGTTTTGCAACAGAGACGGGTGCGACAGTGACGGGAAAAGGCTCAGGAGACACTGGAGAAGCACGTATATATAGGAACAATCTGCAGCAAATTAAGTGACTCGGAGTGTAATTGTTATAACCATTTGAAGCACGCGAACTGGATATCAAAACAGTGACATTATTTCTGCAAGGCTTCAGTGTTACAGCTTTGGTGTTTTTCATCTTTGATTCGATCAAATTTGACCAGTACATGAAAGTTCTGTGCTTCCCAGGACCTGTTTCCCCAGGTCTGTACATTTCTCCATTTTTTTGTCAATATTATGATGATCTGAGACTGAATGTTAATTGCCCTGGATTTATCAAGCCATTGAAGTTTCCTGTAAATTTACTCACCGAGATATTGAGACGAGTTTCATAATTAAAACGAATAGGCTAGCTTTACTGTTTTAGCGTGGATTGTGGCCTAATTATGAAACGAGAGGCATTAAACTCAAACCAAAACCTTCCCTCTTTTATCCTCAACATTCAAATTTACATGTAAGTTGGATTGTGGAAAATCATCTAGCCATCAAAAAAATCTTGTAAAAATCAAGTGTAAAATAACTTCCACCACCATCTTGATAGTTTTTCATGGTTCAAGACTTCTGCATCTATTTATTTGAAAAGCCAATTATAATATTTCATTGATTATGATGATACATATTTTGTAAATAGTGTCAAATATATACAACGTACAGTATTTGCCAAAACATTTTGCTCCCCTTTGTCTCATTTGTAATACTTGTTTCCGGATAATCACTCTTTATTATCAATTGCAAAATATCTATCTGGATATATTCAACAAACTACATGTATTCGCCCTTGAAGCAACCCACAGATCTCAACCCGCCTGTTCAAGACCATTTCAACCCGCTAACGACAGTTTGATGCCAACTACAGACCAATTCAAAACGACTTCACAGTTCCAAACCAGTTGGCAACAGCTCATGTCATTTGTGAACCAGTTGGAAACCATGTTTACCAGTTAAACCAGTTGGAAACCAGTTGAACCAGTTGGAAACTTCATACCAGTTGGAAACTTCATACCAGTTAAACCAGTTCATACCAGTTAACCAGTTGAAAACCAGTTACACCAGTTGCCCAGTTCATACCAGTTAAACTGATTTGGCACCAGTTGAAACCAGTTAGAAACCAGTTCAACCAGTGGCCCAGTTAGAAACCAGTTACACCAGTTGCCCAGTTCATACCAGTTTGAAACCAGTTAGAAACCAGTTAAACCAGTTGCCCAGTTAGAAACCAGTTAAACCAGTTGCCCAGTTCATACCAGTTAAACCAGTTCAAAACCAGTTCATACCAGTTGAACCAGTTAATACCAGTTAAACCAGTTAAAACCAGTCACCAATTCCCAGTTCAACTGGGACCAGTTGAAACCAGTTGAAACCAGTTCAACTGGTTTCAACTGGAATTTTCACCTGGGACCTCTCTCAATCGTTTAAAAAATGCGAAGTACACAGGTCATGTACACATATTAAAAAACGATATATATTAACGCCGTTAGAAAGAATGCTGAGTCTACCTAGGCCAGCTAGCTTTCAGCCAGTGATACGGGTGAAATATATATAAAGTGTAATATATGAAGTAATATAGCTGCAGCCTGCGCTCCACGAATAATAATTAACCTACCTTGAGCGTTTACTGTAGCCCTCATTATAAGAAGCAGGATGATCGCTTGGTACATTTTGGTGACGGTGATTTTTGTTTGTCTTTTATTCGATGACAGGAATAGACTGGTTCAATCTGCATCAGCACGTAGGCCTATAATATACTGTCGCAGTTGTTTGTTATTCTATGCAGCCTCAAGGGCGCTCAAATTATAGTCGTGCATCGATGTATGGCTAGTACAGACATTCTCGTACACGTACACGTAGGTTACAGGTCACGGGTGTGCGGCATGTAGGCCTACTTATGTGTTGTGTCACACCATGGAGGAATAAGAACTCCTCCATGGTCACAAATACATTGATAATGTGACCAAAGCGAAAATTATCATGTAAGTACCATACATGTACCTCCAAATTTGGGCCATCATTTTCTGCATGGTAGAGCTGAATCAGAATTGGCTGGCCACGGGGGTTCAAAGCTTTGGTTTAATGCTGTTGTGTAATTTTGAATTCACATCGCAAACAAGGACAAGATTTCCATGGGAAATATGAGTCACTGAACGGGCACAGGCAGCGCTCACAAAATTGCATTTGCAGTGCATATAGATGACTCACAAGACGCTGATGCTGCAACTGCAATACAGTTTCCGCGGGACTGTTGGAAAATTTTGGTCCTAAAAAAAAAATCGACGAGGATGAGCTCATATCATAGTGTCCTTTTTTTGGTAAAGAAAAAAATAGTTGGGAATATCCCACAAGCAAACATAATGTGAGGCTAGTTAAAAATAAAAAGGACGGCTTTTAAAGCTGGTCCTCATCAAGTGCAAAGATTATTCGGAATGGAAAATCCTTAGCATTTTGTGCATCAGGTCTATACCCAAATTAGCAGAAATTAACAGATTGGCTTTTAAATGCGAGGTTATACAACACTACTAGTGACGGTCCTGCCAGCTGGTCGCGGGTCAGTGGGCCCTGTTCCCAAACCATATATTTCGATACCATTTGTTTAGGCTATGAAGTTATAAAGAGGAGTAGCGTAATTTTTATTCCTAGAAGGGTTAGGGGCAATGTCATGAATAATTCATGTTTATCCATGAGAACGGACAATGACATCAACAGCATTGTTGTTAGTTACTCAACTAGTTACAATACATTAAAGCATTTTAAAGAACGGTTGTCGTCGAGCTACCACACAGTAGCCTAGTGGATAGCGAGATGAGCTATGGATACAAAGATCCCTGGTTCGAATCCACGTCGTCGCTGCTCATTTTCATCAGCTATTTTTCTTCTCCAAATTTATCACTGAGATAATTTTAAATTAATGAGAAAATAGAACGAAAACCTAAGTCTTGCAATGATTCAAAGGAAAAACTGAATTATTCATGACATTGCATCTAACCCTCCTAGGAAAAAAAAATACGCGCCCCGCTTTTGGCAACAGTACCGCTATGTATAGGCCTATGTTGCCAAAACTCCCTGTTCCCACATAATTAGCTGCTATAGGTTCTACATGCACGCTCTATTTGATTCCATTTCTTTATACCCTGGGTATGCCCAAACAGTTTAAAACTGGTTTCCATTGAGTGAATATGATGCATGCTGTGATCAGTTCAACGGGTCATGCAAGCCGGTGTAGTGTGAATATCCGACTCCATGAAATGTGGACTCATTGGTAGTACTGCGCACGCTTGAGTACGATACTATGCTATTTTTAGGATCGTTTCAGGAGAGTGACCTGTCACGTGCCAGGGATCAACCAATTATAGGGAAATAGGGGTCCGATTTTCATAGGAGTCGGATTTTCATGTGACACCGGTAATACTACTAGTGCACTTCACATTAGAGACCACTCTTGGAACAAATGGTCCGGTTAACTTATTCGTTATGCTGGGACTTGCGGTTTTGCCTAAGTCAATTGAGCGTTATCGGTTGACTGATAAGGTTTACGCACAAAACCCTCGGCCAGTGAGGAGTTGCATAGAAAGCTGGCCGAACCATTTTTTTGCGAAAGTGTGCCGGTAATGTGGCTTTTAACATTTTCAGTCTTAACATTATATTGAAAGTAGCCTGATTAACTTCTGTAATGCCGAAGAAATTGTGATCCGCCATTAATTTGTATCCTGATTCCACCAATATTTCATTTACTTTGCTTTATCCAATACTCTTCTGATCCCTGAAATAATCAAAGGTGTGTTAATTGTTTCTTGCATTGTATGGGAATACGACAGAATCCAAAACAGTCCAAACTCATATTCATCATTGTGACTGCTTCGAGTATTATATAGGACCCTAGGCCTAGTCGTGCTAGTAAATGTACACAATGTATATTGCTTGGATATGAGCCTTCTCTCACCAGCATGGCCAGCTGATCACGAACACATTTTAAGCATGTTAGGCAAATAATTATATGATCAAACACAAAATGTAGAACAAATGTGACGGAATCTATGCTGTAAGATACAAATAAAAAAACTGTGGACATTTGAAAACAGTACAAACTGACAAGTAGGGCCTACAACAACAAACAGTAGGCTTAGCAAGATCAGGGCTCCAGAAAAGAAACGAAAGCTCCTGTCCAAACTATCTCCCATTCGGCAAAGACCATGGTGCTGCAGGAATAACCCTGACTTGTATGTTTACAGACATGTGTGATGCATTTGGAAGCGTATTTGGAACTGAATACAATACAGATAATCAGTGTTTTCTTGGAGAAAACGATGTACATTTGTGCCTGCTCCGTCTTTAGCAATTTGAATGTGCTAGTTGAACTGAGCTGCATGCATGCTAACGCGATGTGGCCTAACTTAATTAATAATTAATTCCCATACAGTATCAGTGCATGATGGGGGGGGGGTGGGGGTAGAACCATCATATTATTAAACCGCAACCGCTACAAACATGATGATGTGCAGTCTCGGATCATGTTGGCTGGTTTTCTACATAAATCTTTAGTCAATGTTCTTCTCTTTCTCATTATAATTGCTCCATGCAAACACTGAGAAACAATGATCCACAAAGCAAAAAAGTATAAAATAAAATATATCATACGAGCAATTGGCAAAAAGTGCTTCCTGTTGACCACAAAAGAAATAATTCACAGCTGGTATAATTAACTTTCCATCCATATCTTAAGAATTACCAGTTGGAAGCTGGTTTCATCAACTGGTTTCAATTGCGTCCCTGTTGGTTTTAAATTTGGATCATCTTGACATTGCCAATTGATTAACTGGTTTCTGCAACTGGTTTCAACTGGTCCAGTGTTGAAACGCGGATATCAGTTGGTTGCTAATTCAACTGGTTTCAACTGGTTTCTGTTGACACCACAAGAATTGCCAGTTGGTAACTGGTTTCTTCAACTGGTTTCAACTGGTTTCTGCTGAATCCAGTTGAGCTACCAGTTAAAACCAGTTGAATCCAACAGGAACTAGTTGAACACCAGTTTATCCCAATTGAAACCAGTTGAAACCAGTTAAAACCCGTTGAAATTTTAACTGGTTTCAACTGCAATTTTCACCTGGTACTACATTGATTGTCGAACTGTTGGCATATATGATGCATAATCATGTGATGCATATGCAAATATGACTAACTACATATACTGGGGAAGGGAGGGGGGGGGTCTAACTGGCTTAGTCGGACTTACTGCGCGACATTGATGACATCACACACACGTAGGCAGGATCACGGAACGGCAAACAGATGAGGGCGCCCTATATAAGCTAAGGCCATTAATATTACGCGTATGGAAGCAAAGTAAGCGTACGGATTGAGCACAGCAGAATAAGTCCGACTTGGGTCAAGTCTAGACCCTCCGGCGCCCATCAGGAGACCTATGTGGTTCTCACTGCCATCCTAGTAGTTGTTGTTGCGCCACAGCTATTTTTTCAGGACGCAGTGACAGCGCATGTGATCACAGACTGTCTGTCAGAGCCGGTATTAAGGAATACGTGTATGGTATTAAAAGCAATAACTTCACAACTTGTACATATGTCTCAGCAATAATTGCTTTAATTATCGGATATGATTCGAACAGTTTTACCGGTTTTTTTAAATTATTTACAAAACAGCAGAAACTACAAAAATCACGTCCGATAATTAGTTAAGAATTGGGACGATATTTTTAGTTCATTGCGGATTGGCTGAGCCAAAACGTCATTGTAGCTTTAGATTTGAAGGCACGAATACTGTGAAACAAGTCAGAAAAGTATATGCATTTCACTACAAAGCATCGTCGTTACACCTACGAGAACAAATTACATTTTAAAATTACCTTCAACAGTTCTGCGTACTGTTATGCAACATGTTTGTACTACTTGCAAAATTAAACTTTTCATATCCAAGGATTAACCCTCAAAAATTCCCGCTTTAAAGCGATCAACATTTCTTCCGTGATGCTGTTTGGGGCCTTGCATAATGCAACGGAATTATCATCACACGTGTATATCTCTTATGCTATCATACAGAGATCGTAAGCTGCTGCATAGCCAGTAGTCCATGTAAGAAACACGGGTGCTTGAATTCTGCAGAAAAGAAGGGCCTATTTTGCCAGCAAAGCTGGTCGGAACATAATCATTGAGTTGTCAGTCGGACGAAACAGTCACATGAAATAAATTACTTGGAGACAGTGTTGTATATAGACCATAGCAAAACAAACAAGCTATAATACAATTAAATAAATGTAATTCCATTTATCTGATATGCTGCTCTATTATTCGTATTATTTGTTTCATTGTCCAGAGGCCAATTATTGCAATTGTGTTGATGCAGGTAGGCCTATTCTGAACATCGTGTTGGTAGTGTTTTTGGGTAGTCACAAACAAAGGCCTGTACATAATGTTTCATGCATGGCTGAATATCAGTGAATCTTCCACAGACTGTGGTCAATAGCTAGACCGAATGTTGGTTGAAGAGAAAAACAGTGGTAACCGTTCCCGTTTTCGTGGGAGACAAGAGCATATAAAGAGCCTCGATTTGTTTACTAAAAATGTAGTACGTGTATGTTCGCATGGGTATTGTTTCTCCTCTACGGTTAACACACTTTGCTCTGAGTTTACTACCACGCTTCTCTGTGATATATTGATACAGCCAGATAATGCATTTCTTAAAAGTCATAATGGTACCATCTCAACGTCAACTCTGTTTCCACCCTGCCTTTTGAAGCAGCTGCAGAAAGCTACCTTAAGGCCTTGCCTGAATTTCTTGTATTTGAACTCATAGATGATGGGATTAATGACTGAATTAAAAGTAAATAGTAAACTAGCGAACAATGTGGTATAGTGGTAGCCCTTCGATCCACAGAACAAGAACTGAGCCTCCTCTGTATGTTGCAAGCAGAGAAGAATAGTTACATAATCCAGTGTCCATAAGAGAATAAGAGCTCCTAAGACAGTTTTAAGCATGCTGACCAGGTTCTGTCTAGCAATCACAAGATCATAGGCTGCTGCTCTTGCATGTTGCAGGTTCAGAGCCTTTGCTTGTCTTTTTAGAGTGACCTGCATCTTATAATAAGCCACAATCATTAATGTTAGGGGCAACAAGTATCCCAAAAGAAATGAATATATGCTGAATATAATTGGAAATAACAAGTGAGGATATTTGATTAAGCAAATCCGATCGGGGTAACTGCTTGTTTCGATTGTGAATAGTAGAGGTAAAGATATCAGAAATGATATTACCCACACCAATGTAATTAAAGTAACCATCCGTCCTGTTGTGAGTTTTCTCGCATAGTGTAGAGGGTGTACTATGGCAATATACCTCTCCAATGTAACCACACAGAGATTGTAGGCAGAGGTATAGGTCAATGCCCATGCCAAAAACCTCGATGCCAGAATTCTGCAGAACAAGTCTCTCACCCCGTTGCTTACTGGAGCAAAGGCAATAAGCTTACAGTCTGATGTTAGATAATACAAGGTTTCTTCCAGACACAGCAGCATATCAGCAACAGCCAAATTCACCAGCAGGTAGTTCGTCATGTTGTGTAAGAATTTGACGCGTAGGATGACGTAACACACTAAGAGGTTCCCTAAGACACCAATAACTCCTTCTGCTGCCATGATCTGACACACCCGCTTCACTCCAGCTATTTCCTCATTGTGTTCCTCAGTTGCATTCATTGTTAATATTTGTGTTGACGCTCATGATTTCATAAACAATTTGGTACGCTCAATTATTATGATGCTCTATTAATGATTTTTACAGTCTCTCTGGTTCCTGAATTCGGGACAATCGAATACTTAAAAAGTAATGTGTAACGAACACATTTGAGTGTTTTATATACAAAGCTTTAACAAATCCCCGCTTGTGCGTCTGGGGATTATTCAAATCCTTCCTCAGAACTAACCATGCTTTTCGCTGATTGACGCTCACAGTGTTGATGAAATCCCCGGAGTTTCTGTTGGTAGAAAATCGTGGGTGAAGCAGCAGGATGACAGTGGCCCCTAGCACAAGTTTTACGTCCTACCATTGCAAATAGTCCAATACTGTATTACTTGAAAAAGTCCCAATTGTGCCATCTCAACGTCAACTCTGTTGCTGCATGCTTTTTTTCAAACAGCTAAAGAACGCTGCCTTAAAAGATTGACTGAACTTCTTGTGTTAACCTTCCGCAGTGGGACTAGAACACAGGATGCTGCTCAGAAAGTTATGTGACAACGTCAAAGTAGCCAGTGTTTGTCATCAGTTTTCATCGTAGTTTCCCCGCCGCTATCAATGAAATTAGGCTTTCCTCTACAGAAGGTCGAATATCCTTCGAGCAATGTAAATTCCATGCTTGTAGCGAGCATGTAACTGATCATATCAATAATTGTATCCTCATGGTAGGCCACTGACGCCAGGCGTATCCTGCACTGAGTCGGAGTTTTATATTGAATATCAGATAATTTTTGGCTGTTGATTGAAAGCTTTAATCAATATGTAGTTCATGAGTGTGGTAACAAATGCAATAATGTACATGTCTGGCAATCACTTTGCCTTACAGCCTTTTTGTTTGATAAATGAAAGACAAATGTGTCCCTTTTATCATCATCACAGTATGTTTTCCGCCGTGAAGCACGTCAACTGTTAATAAATGAGAGCAGATCGTTTCTCTGCAGAGCGTTGGCGAGTTAACGATAGTACGCACGTGATACTCCACGGTTAACGCACCTTTCGCTTTGTTTACTGTTGAACCACCCTGTGAAATGGACGACGGTTCCGTGAGCAAGAAATTGTTTGTCTAGAAGCACCGTGGTATGGCACCTGTTAAATTTTCTATTTATACTGCCTGTAACGGCAATTTGGGAAATTTTATTCTGGTTTAATCATAGTTGTTCTTTCAAAGTGTTTTCTTAACTTTCAATTTATAATCACGCATACCTTTGATCGATAATAAGTTTGTTGCGGTACAATTATTTGGGTTCCTGTACTTTCGTTATAGCGCCCTCTTTCGGTATCGTACTTTTGTGAGATCATAGTTTAAACTCTTTGTGATTCCGATGATTCGCAAATAATTGATATGTACCGAATTTGTCCCCCAAAAATTATGAAGGTGGTTACAATGGTTACAATTCATCGTATTCTGAGTGATTTGATAGGATTATTAGAAACTTTTGTAAGTCAAGATTTCATATTTTGGTGCGATAACTTACACAGCGATAACGTACGCAGTATGTCAAGTGAAGGCTCAAACGCATATATTTAGTAACTTGATCACAGTGGTTTATGTTTTTCTGTAATTGTTACTAATGTGAGGTTTTTTTTATTGTTGTAATAGTACAGTGAACCACCATGAGCACCAAAGGCATCACATCATAGTGCCTCATTAATAGGGTTCGCTCAGAAGGTACCGAATTTATGTGGCAAATGCTGTTCCCAAGGCTACATCAAAGTTAGCGATTTGAAACAGAGTGCTGCTACTCACTCATGGCTGAGGTAGATACTGCAAATAATTGTCCTGACAACACTGACTCGGTTAGTGAAGCCGGATTATCCATTTCAAGAACTACCTCGAGGGTTAGCACGAATTCAGTTTCCTTTCGGAAGAAAGCCAAGGCCATTCCGATGCTGGCACACCTCAAAGCGTTCAGTCATCAATGCAGTATCACATTTCATATTGATATAAGCAAACTGGAAAGGAAAGGGATATTTTTGAGAAGGTGTGGACGTTATAATTACAATGATCGTGACAACACGTAATGCACGTTGGAATTAACAACACCAACTACACGATATGAATCCATTACTAGCAAATTGCGGTATCGAATCAGGATACAGGAAGAAAGTTTCCTATCCAGGGCTTACTATTGGAAACGAGGTTGGAAATAAAGTAAGCACTGGGGGACGAGGTTGGTGTTGAAGCGACCCTTGTCAACATTGTGTAAACGCGTGAGTTTTAGCTTATACCCGCATGCAATGCATGCAGGTGTACACAGGAGATGAAACCAGTCGTTTGAAGTGGACAGTAGAGGGCGTAGTTCATCTGATTAATGCAAATCCGTCGGTATAGTGATGGATACAATGAAAGTAACTTTTTAGCGGGAAGTTGGCCAGTAGGAGATTTATTTTAGCAAGGAAAAGACGACATTCAGTTAAAGGTTCTAGAGGAATTGATTATTAAGGGACAAACAAGGTCCATTCATGTACTTATTATTTTACAATTAATTATTGTCATTTCCATTCATGTAATTATTATTTCCCCTTCATACTTTTCTAGGGGCAGTGGCATTACATCGTGTGACTGGCGGAGCGGAAGGCGGCAGATATTATTTATCTTGGCACAAACGAACGGTGTTTATGTTAATCCTCTAAGACACTATACATGTAGTTGATAAATTATTCATTAATTATTATTAGGGTATACAGTTACGCAACAAAACAATTAAGTAATGTTCGTGACGAAACAAACGACAGTTTCGAATTAAACAAACATACAAATTAAAGACCCTCTTCAATTTGCAAGAGAGTAACGCGAGATTTCTAAGAGTAAAATTTATAATCATGACGTATGTAAATGATTAAATTCACGATCATTACGAGTCACGTTGATGGCGTACCCTTGTGGTATGTTCATCAAATCGAAAATCATGCAGCTGCTGCAGGTATTTCGATATGCAGATTGGGGGTTCGAGTCCAGCCTGTGTAGTCTGCATGGTGCGTGTCCATGGGCAGGCCACTTTGTAACAAGGAGTAAAGCACACACTGTCCAAATTGTCACATGATTCCTGCACCTTTGATAATCCATGGGGATCAACCATCTACCCCGTTGAAAAATGTGACTGAAGTCCGACTTGAGGCAGGTCTAGGTAAACCACGGTTTTATTTAAGATGCAAGCACAGTGAAAGCGTTGAAGGTCATTATTTTCAAGATAGTTATATTTCGCTGGAGTACTGCCTTTTTGGTACATTCTGTATTTAATTTTTTATGTTATTTGTCACTGAAAACAAATCGAAGCTGCTACCGATATATCTTGCCGCCATGCACATTAGATTCCATACGGCATTCATTCGTCCCACGGAGGATCTTGAACATTCCTGTTGAAAACAAAAATCACATCAGCAAATAATTAATGTGGAATAAATGGAAACAAGTTACACGTACAAAAAAATTATTCAGTTAAACAAATGTTGTGATCTAACATTTTATTGGATCATTTGGAATCGCGGAGCAATTTTGCACATTGATGTTATTAGACGCCAACAAAGGTACATTGAAAAGATTTTAAAAATTGTACAATTTTGACAAATCAAATTGATTCATCTGTTTATTTACTAAAATTATTTTTAAGTCTGGTTCCCTGAACTGAAGTTTGCATATATAAGGACCTGTGATAAATCGTAGGCCAGGCAATCTCATTATGAAGCATCGGGAGTGTGTGTGGGGGAGGTGGGGGGGGGGGGTCGTAGCCACTCAGAAAAGCGCACACGTAAACAAAGTGTGACGTCACCAGGATAAATGCTAATATTATCAATGTGTGGGGTGCTGTGGTCCAATGGTTACGGTGTTCGACTCGTGTGCAGTGGTAGTTGGGTTCGAATCTTGACCGTTGGAACATGGTACTTGTGTTCTTGAGCAAGGCACTTGACCATTATTGCTTCGTCCTTTACCGTTATTGCTTAGGTCCTTTGTGTTGTGTTATGCATGTTAAAGAACTAAGTAACACGTATCACTAAGAGAAGGGGCTACATAAATGGGTCTCGTATTTCTCATGTACTTATTTACCTGTCTCTAATAATAGACATAATTTCAAGCGCCTTGAATACCTAAATGTTGTAGACACTAGCACTATAAGACTTTGGTATATCACAATGAACGCATTGCACGTTACCTTTATCGCCCCACTCGGAGTTCCATGAGTTAACACACAACCAATATTTCTGATTGTTCTCCACGCCCCAACCTATGATCTTGACCGCATGAAAGCCCATCGATTGTTCAGTCTTATGCTGATACACACCTTTTTATGCCGATTAAAAAGATACAGAAAATTCTATTAGGGTATTGATGATGATAACAACGACTTGAACAGCAACATCGATCCATGTATTAATGTCAGAAATGTAATGACTCGAGTCAATGACTCGACTCGAGTCTGAATCGAGTTCATTTCTTTCCCAACAGGTAATTGACTCAACTTGAGTCACTGACAGCAAATGACGGGACTCTACTCGCCTCTTTAGAACTTTGGTGCTGCCACCCAAGCAATATACGGTCGTGTTTGGAATGTTTCGGGTTACATAAATTGTAGGCAAGGCTTGTAACAGAGCCCACAAACAATTATTCAATTCATTCAGAAAAGCTATTTTCAGAAAGTATTTTCAGACAGCTGTGTACACAATTGAGCCGTTTACACAATGGGACGTGTTTAGCCTATTCCCTTGGCTTCATGGGGTGCTCCAATATACAATAGAACTGCCCGGCTAACAAGTAAAAGTGGTTCGGATAGGTACAACGAGGACACTAAGCTGCCCCTTCTTCTTTTCAGGAAACTAACAATGAAGTGCGCCACCAATATTTTGCCATGGAGAGTCCATTTTTCAAGTATACGATCGACAAAACACAGCCCATTTAGTTCAGTCGGAAAAGGGGGGTATCGTGCACCCTCGGAAATCAATTTCTAATCAACGTGACTAGGTCAGAAAAAATGCGTAGAAAACGATTTGCTATGTTAAAAAATTCAAAAAATGTCCCACGTATTGTTTTTATGCAAATTAGTGCCGCCATTACCGAAAAATCTATTTTTAATTATATCTCAGCCAATATTGCTGATAACTGAACGAACTAGGTGTCTAAACCCATGTTTTCAAGGTCAGAGATCACAATAAAACTATTCTGGAAGTCACCACATGTGTCTGTGGCATAGGAATATGCAAATTAGTGCCGCAAATACCGGAAAGTCATGTTTTTGGCATATCTCGGCCAATATAGCACATAACTACACCAGTAAGGTGTCTAAACCCATGTTTTGAGGGTCAAGTATCATTAGAAAACCATTCACGAAGTAACTATGTGTGTCTTTGGCATGAAAATATGTAAATTATAAAGTGTCGGTTTATCAGATATTTGATTTTTAGCTAATATTTCGGCCAATATTTCACATAACTACACAAGTAAGGTGTCTAAACCCATGTTTTGAGGGTCAGGTATCATTAGAAGACCATTCACGAAGTAACTATGCGTGTCCTTGGCAGGTAAATATGCAAATTCAAAAGTGTCGATTTATCGGAAATTTGATTTTTAGCCAATATCTCGGCCAATATTGCAGCTAATGTTGACAGAAGGGTTTTTGATAAGCAATAATGATCAAAGTTTATTTTAAGCCATCATATTTAAAATAAATTGTACTATTGGCTGAAATTGAATATAATATTGGCTAAATATCAATTTTTTGATAAACCGGCAAATTAGAATTTACATATTTTCATGCCAAAGACACACATAGTTACTTCGTAAATGGTCTTCTAATGATACCTGACCCTCAAAACATGGGTTTAGACACCTTACTTGTGTAGTTATGTGCAATATTGGCCGAGATATTGGCTAAAAATCAAATATCTGATAAACCGACACTTAATATTTTACATATTTTCATGCCAAAGACACACATAGTTACTTCGTGAATGGTCTTCTAATGATACTTGACCATCAAAACATGGGTTTAGACACCTTACTGGTGTAGTTATGTTCTATATTGGCCGCGATATGCCAAAAACATGATGTTCCGGTATTAGCGGCACTAATTTGCATATTCCTATGCCACAGACACATGTGGTGACTTCCAAAATAGTTTTATTGTGATCTCTGACCTTGAAAACATGGGTTTAGACACCTAGTTCGTTCAGTTATCTGCAATATTGGCTGAGATATAATTAAAAATAGATTTTTCGGTAATGGCGGCACTAATTTGCATAAAAACAATACGTGGGACATTTTTTGAATTTTTTAACATAGCAAATCGTTTTCTACGCATTTTTTCTGACCTAGACCCGTTGATTAGAAATTGATTTCCGAGGGTGCACGATACCCCCCTTTTCCGACTAAACTAATTTGAAATTATTGAATGAGTATCAGTAGACAACTCCATGAGCTAATTTTGTTTAGACTGGGGCATTGCGTTTTGCCGCCTTACACAAAACACCATATTGATAACAAGACAAGAAGGGCAAACAGATCCTCGAATCATACGCTTACAAAAGCTACTGACCAGAAAACTAACAATTTTCCAATTAACAATGTCCCGCGCTGCGAATTTGTCGACCATCTCCCACTATGCACTTGGGGGAAACAAACGAAAACTCCGTGGAAGACTCTTGGTGGCCCATTGCATTGTGAATCGCCCGAAATGTTCAAGGCGTACCTGATCGGTAGGTAAAGAAGTCTTCGTAAAGGGTCATGTCGGCATTCACGGGCCCGTTATCCATGATCTCACGCTGAATATCCGTTTCGTCAGTTCCAGTTCTATAATAGGTTGCACCTGAAGCATTGAGACAGAGACAATACTAAATCTAGATTTAGTTTGTGGACAAACACATACTTTGCGGCATTTTATTATAATGAATTCTTATGTCATGTTATCCACAAATATAGGACGCACAAGGCATGTTCAGCCGAAACGGCTATATTGGGCTGTATACTCCCAAGGGAGCTGAGATTGTACATGTATTTGGAATGTTTCATTGGCCCCATGATTAGGGGTAACAAGAAAGTGTTCGATCTCTGTTGGAAAGCTATATAATTACTTAACGTTATTTACAAGTGCTTGCAAAGGCAGGTGCGGTTCAATGGAGAGGTGGGTGAACCCCCTGCTCAGTCAAAACAAAATTTGTTTTCCCCATAGAATAAATAAAAAAAAAAAAAAATCCGGTTTGACATTATTTCTGTATTTACAGCGCCACTAATAAAAGTATGGTACAAGCACCCCACCCCCCCCCAACCAACCTATTGATTTTATGGATCCAAGTGTCCAGACCAAACAAATAAAAGCTGTCAGCATTTCAACATTGATTTGTTAATGAAAGCACCCACGGCAAACATTCCACGATCCGCCCCTGAGCAGCATCATCAACAACTATGGCAGCTTAAAGAATGTAGAGGTCGTAGCGCCCTCGTGTGGCGGGGCCAACAAATGTATACCTTTCCTCTTGTCCGCTGTGTAGTGAACTGGGTAGCCGGCTATACAGCTTTCGTGACAGACGGCTGAGGAGGGTCGAGCCTGGCACGGGCCGTAGCTACCCTTTTCATAGTGATCGCAGGGCTTGTAGGCGTACGGTCTGCATCCGCTTGATGTATTGAACCCGCCTCCGCTCACTAGTCCGTGTTGGACCCAGTATCTCCAAGTATCCGAACTGTAGCCGCCTGTGCAGCTAACAACACAAATATGAAACAGCGCTTCGTTATTTGTATGGCGCATTTGGCCTATCGCAAATTGCGAGTTAGCCACGCCCCTCAGACAACCCTGTGGAATTTGTGTACACTAAGTTTTGTTTGTCTCAGAATTGCAGAATTGACCTATCGCGGTAGAATCGCATTAGATTAGCGTCAACGCAGCTTGTGAACTATTGTCCTATTACATGATACACAAATGGGCGCGGAACGCGCATGATATGAGACAAACAAAACTTGGTGAACAACAAATCCATAGGGTTGAATAAGGGGCGTGGCTAACTCGCAAATGGCGATAGGTCAATTAACATCCAAACACCAGCCTTGGTTCCAGTTTTCAATCGACTCCTCACAAGTACTAATTACAAGAATTGGGTCCCAAATGAAACCAACAATGTACAAGTGAACAATACAAACAATGAAATGCCTTCTCTTGGTCTTATTCCTCCTCTGCAGTTTTTGTCCTGACTTGTGCTGAACCTAGTTTGACGCTGAGGGCGCTCTCTGCCCACCGTTTTTTTTATAAGCCGTTTTCGTCATCAGTCCCTACAGGGCGATGAGATGATTGTAGTATCGATTGGACAACAGTCGTCTGCACTCCTCTTCGGATTAAGTTGATAAAGAAATTGTAAAAAGAAAACACTGTAGGGTGGAGGAGGGGGGGGGGAGGCGGGAGCATGTCCCTTTGGTGCCCCCCCTCCCCCAATCCGCCTTTGACAGCAGGACTGTCTTTTTGCTGAAAATAGTAATTGACTCTCACCCATCCAATCCGATTGTGGGGGTCATGCAGGTCACAGCGTCCTCAGCAGAGAAATTCCAATGTAAGCCTGGAAAAGTAATACAGTGTCGATCCGATATTGCCGCCGCCGCGGAGAGAGCCTATGACAACAACGCAACATCGACAAATACATGTTGGATTGATTGCATTGATTGATCGATTGATTGACCGAATCAGTTGATCGGTTGATCGGTGAATCGGTTGATCGGTTGATCGGTTGATCGGTTGATGGTTGATGGGTTGATCGATTGAAACGATAATTACATGTTGAATTGGTTACATGGAATGATTGATCGATTGATCGACCGAATCAATTGATCGGTGGATCGGTTGATGGGTTGATGGTTGATGGGATGATCGATTAATCGATTGATCGATTGATGATTTTTGGTGGTTTTAGTTTAATTGATCGGATTGGATTGATGGATGGAATGATTGATTTTGGTGGTTTTGATTGAGTAATTAATTAATTGATTGATCGACGATTGTCTATTCTGTGTCTTGGTAATGTGTAAATAGGGGATTGCTAGAACGCACTTTCATTAGGTTTTTCCTTCGTATGATTTTTTGAAAACCTTGGGAAAAATAACCATTTTCATCAAAATGTGTGGCATTGTGTTTACTCTGATAACATAATTATTAAAGCAGCGCTGGGCGGTTTGGACAGTACGTATGTATCATACTTATTCATGCGAGTTCGTGGCGGAGATTTCTCACGAAATCTGTTTTCACACTTGGCAATAAAATAAAATACAAACAACCATAACCTGAAAGTAAACGAAGTACTACTTATGACTTTTTTTTTCAAAAACGTGTGAAAAATAACAACTTTCATAAAAGTGTGTGGCATTGTGTTTACTCTGATAACATAATTATTAATACATTTGCCCTCTGGCGCGGCCCTGCTAACGAGGTTTGTTTTGGTCACTTCGTGAAAACAGAACAATACAAAGTTCAGGCTTTTTGTCAATTGTTTGTTTACCATAACTATAAAAGTAAACAATATTTTGCTTTGAAACTTGGTCCATTGTTCTTTTTGTCAAGTGCAATTAATTTGCCAGCAAAACTCATAATCTAAAAATGATCGATTTTCCGACTTTTTGTCACTTCGTGAAAACGTCGTCAAATTAATTAATCACGATTCTTACATATCCTCCATTGCAGCGGCCTTGGTCATGGACACGACCTATGGACGGGCAGTGTGGCCATTGAGTACGGGCGTCGAATTCCGTGGGTAGGGCACCAGCTCTGCCGTGCTTGACTATGGGGGCTTTGGGGGCTTTCTCTAGTGACAACCCTGGTGTGCTGAACCGCTCCAGTAGGGATGCAGCAGTCTCCCTGGCAAAGTTGGCGCCAGCCTGTACAACAAAGAAAATGCGGTGTATTCGATTTTTTACTGAAAAAAAATAAAGCACAAGATAGTATAAAACGGATAGATTTTGCAAGTGTCTGTTTTGTGGGGAATAAGCATGTTCATGATGTTGTTGTTGTTTTGAAAGCACGTGGTTGCTGTGGCTGCCATGTTTAAAAGTGTCATTTTGAATGCGTGTTATGGCTGTCATACATAATAATTTAAACACAGGTAGCAAATACGCCTGGCGGTTGAGTAGTTACACATGTGCTAGTTAATTTGATTGGGCTGAAAAGGTTAGGACGTGCTGGGGTCATGGGCGTCCCCATGATGGCAAGGGGGGCACTTTACATTAGCCTCTCCTAACCATATTCTACCGTCTGGATTCTCCAGTCAACCTTGTTTTGACGAAATTACAGAGGGTGCAAGCATGTTACTGGCACTTTAACCAGGTGGTCTAGGTAGTTCTAGCTCATATAGCCTTTGTGGTAGTCCATCTAGGAGAAGACAAACTCTGATTCCAAACCTGGACAGGTGCAGCTCGTTAGACTTGGTTGGCAGTCCACCTAGGAGAAGGATAACAGTGATTCCAAATCCGGGTAGGTGGAACTCGTTAGCCTTGGTTGGCAATCTGCCTCAGAGAAAGGACACTCCGAGATAAAACCTACATCCATACACGTCGCTCATTTCGTGGCAGCTACTGTACCAGACAGCGCTTGGCGTGTATCAGGGAAAAGAGAGGGACTGTGAGTGCACACACCTTTCTCAATATAACCCACTCAGGTGCAGGTCATTCGGCGACATCAAATGGTCATTCTAGACCTACCAATCAAAGCCATGTGGCGATGGGGGATTGGTTACGGAACAGGCTGAGAATGTTGCCGGGAGTCTTTAGCCACGAACCTACACAAAGGCGGCCTAGTAATGGTAATTTGCGGTAGACTGGGGTAAATGCGGCATTCGTATCCTGCATGGGTGTCAGAGCAGCCCTCTATAGGGATAGCGAAACTTTCCCCACATGAGGTACTGAAGAGATACTGAATAGGGACCTTAACAACCGCCTACCCCATCTGAGCTTGGCAGGATACCGCGCCTGGCTGGCCATCCAGACCTGCGGTCGAAAACAAAACAAGAAACTGAAGCATTTTCTAAACTTTGGAACGTCGAACGTTAGGACCATGTTAGACAACGACAAGAGACTAGTGCGCCGATCAACCATCATTGAGAAGATGTTTGGTCAGTACAATATGGACATTGCAGCCCTTAGCTAGACACGTCTGGGAAATCCAACGGAGGGCTCAAGTTCGACCCCGCTTAAAATACAGAGAGCGCAGCGACTGGCGCCACGCCTAATTTATCATGACGACATCAAAACATTTGAGGCAAATCCAACTATAGACACCCGAGAGAAAGGAGGGCAAGGAGACAAGCAAACACCGGTACCATCACAAACACCAGATTTTTATCATTATCATCGTCGTCAGCATCATCACCACCATCACCACCATCACCATAATCAGTAATTTTGATTAAAGTAAGGTTTTACCTTCCAAGTTGTATTCATTAAGTTGATTTTCTCCACGAGGTCCGCGGAATACTCGACGAAGTCCTGCTCGAGTGACTTCACGGGAGAAGACGACACCGTGGCTAGCAAGCCGAGAAAGACTGCAAACAGCAGCTTCATGCTGAAATCTGGGAGAAACAAAATGAAACTTTACAAGGCCAGATTATTTTGATAATGACACTGGTTATAGGAACTCACGTAAAATTCAAAACACCAAAACCATACGTATTCCGTGTGGAAAGTTATGTTTTATCCATATTGGCTAACTTCACAACCTAAAGTACCTTCATAAACCTAAATTAGAATTCAAAGATCAGCGTTTCAAGGGGTCACACTGTGCGCTTTGCCATGTCAATTAAGTATAATTTGGAACATTTAAAAAACACGGGATTAATACCTTGTCCGATACAATAACATACCTTTTCCGTTTCCCTAAAAATCAGTTGTCTTCAAGTAATGAAGAGAGCCTGCGTCGAGTTTGAGGAACTTGCCGAAATGGGAGCTGAAATAGCCTCAGTACGCCACCATCACAACCACGGCCGGCACCTGGTTATGCAGACTTCAAACTGACCCTCAACCCTCTTCATTTCAAACTTTGACCCAACTGATGCACTTAGGCCTAAACGAAGATAACAGATAGGAAAGATATTCTTTGTAGTCTATTAGTTTTTGCTTTTGCTCTTTGTTTCAAACAGACCAGTAACGTGCTAAAGTGTCTAGTGGTAAACAAACAAACAGGTCCTAAAAACACAGCCTCTGAATAATATTCATAAAACGTGTACACAATACTGATACACTTTATTTGCCGGTGTCTTGTGACAAATCGAGACAATTATGAAATGTCGTGGAAATATTCTTTTTTTCCCCAGGATTTGTTAGAGTTGTTTCAGTTTGTTAAGTATCAGGAAGAATCGACTGAGCTTTAATCGACCATTCATGAAAGAAATTAGAGCTCATACCGTGATACCTTCAGTGCTTCCATACAATGGAGTCAACGACGTTCTTGAAGGAAATTAAAGTATCCTTCATTGGAATTTGAATGATTCAAATGTTGAAGTAACTAGGCAAATCTATATTAGATATACATTCACATACTGTTCAGAGAGTGTTTTAATGATATGTTTGATATTGAATATGTGCTCGGTGGATCTATATGTGATGCAATCAAGCTACATGAATTGTTTGTCGACTCTCGTCATATTTTTAAAATTTGACAATAGCACAATCTCCGCATTACTGATGTAAAAACCGCATGCTGGTACCATCTTTAGTACAAAAATTATGGAAGTTGGAACACCAAGAGATGTGATGAAGTGATGTGCTGAAGTGGCCCTGTTTTGGCCTGTTTCTCCACATAAAAAGCCGACAAACGACTCATTTAGCTTAATCGCATCACAATTCAGGAACGGAATAATAGCTGTCTATGTCCTTCCTTTTTTCCCGACGTAAACGTCAGCCAATGTTGTTTAGATTGAGTGCCGTGGCCTAGTGGTCTGGAACATTGAATTCGTGGTCTGCAGGTAAAGCTGCAGGTTGTGGTTTCGAGTCCGGCATGGGGTTATGGTGCGTGTGCCCTTGAGCAAGGCGCTTTGACACTCATTGCTTCTCTCCACCCAGGTATAGATGGGTTCCTGTGAGGGCAGAGTTGGTTACTGGGAGAGGTTGATTGCGGCCAAGAACGCCAAAATGGCTGCCTACCGGCCGTGTATATGCTCCCAGGGGGTTTAGGTTTCAGAAATGTTTGCCCGTTGAACAGGGGTAATAATAGTTGTAAAGTGCTTTTGATACTCCGTTAAAAGCACTATACAAATTCCTGCTATTATTACTATTAACAATTGCTGTCAAACTGAAACCATCCCAAGAGCGAAACTATTAAGCAGTAACGATTCCAAGGATGTATTTCCAAAGGAATGTCCTTCACATGTGATACGAACTTATCTAGCTTGTATAGTTAGTTACAGGGTCCAGGCTATATCTAGCTTGTTGTTAATGTGGAATCTGGACTCATACCAAAGGTGGTTCTGCATTCATACAAGCTTGACTTTTATCACAAGTACCCATATCTAAAACTTAACCAAAATTAATACCTGAACCATATTCTGCCCTAATATTCACGCAAGGTAATTAAAGCGTTCAATGTTCAATCTTTCAAAGAGTCCATATTTTCACTAACGCCATATGAACAACTTTGCCCTGAATTTGTGTGATAAACCACGGACCTTCTGTGAAGCACTACGGCGTGGGGCCCTGCATAACAGGTGAGATGGACTGGACCATTTCACACAATGAGGGGATTCTAGCTGCTTTACACAGTATGGAATATACATGTACCAATACAAATATTGGAGTTAAAACTGTTCAGCTAAATAACGTTTTATTGTATAAGCACTCGTGTTTTCTTTAGCACATTAACAATGGTATGAATACAATATTTGATAAGCAAACCACTTATTAATGTTGTACGTAAAGGCGAGATAGCACAAACCATGCACAAACACATCCTCTAGGGAATAATGCTATGGTCCGACAATCATCAACTGCAACAAAACTCGTTTTGCCGAAACCCACAGCATGTTACGAAAATAACGAAAAACCTATGGTACGAAGGTATATTCATGCACTGAAAAATGTAGTTTTAAGGCGCTCAATTGGAGAAAAACGAATATGAAGAGGACACAGCAAACAGTTTTCCGACATGCTTCTAATGCTGGCGAGACGAATGCGTGGCCTGACCTTGTTCCCCGTTCAACCTATCAATACACGCGTGGTTATTATGGAGCCAGACTACAGAGACACGTTGCATATTATAACCGGGTCATAATCTGGAAGACAGACGTTCAATGCTTGGAAGCAAAATAACCTTTCGTCCACTCTTCCAATGAAAATGATACCTATGTGAGTGGGACGGACATTTCATGTAGTTTATTCAAAAGTGCAAGTTGAGTCTGTGGGACAAAGAGAACGACTGTGCCGTTCAAGTTAGTGAGACAACCCACCGGAAAATGATCAACAATCGTGTTGACCTCCATTGACTTTGCCGATGTTGAGGTTTTATACGCCCGGTTTGGAAGTGAAAAAAAAGTCGCGTGCACCATATATTTGTCAAAACTAACCGAACTTACTCTGAACATTGAAATGCGTAGCGAGTTGGTGAGAAACATAGACGTACTTTCCTTTTACTGACAAAAGTTTGCAATGAGGGCTCTGTTTTCGTGTCACTTTCCTGCACTGAGCGTAGGGTCACGGAGCTCCGTGAGCAGATGCGCACAAGTTGTTGTCATGAGACACCAGTAACCAAAAATGCACCAATCAGTATTTGTACCTCATCCTCATTGTAAAGAAATCAACATACATTGAGAAACTATTGTCGCGCAATGCATTTTTTAGAGGGCGCACTTTAGTTCTTTACTGGTAGCCAGCGGGGTGCGCGTGCACTCATCCAGGTTTATGGGGGCACCAGCCAATAGCGCCAGTGTATATAAACGGCCACTCGCTCAGCTTCGCCCTCTTTCTTCTGTGGCCGGAACCCGAGCGCAGTCGTCCGAGGCAGTACCGCTACACTATACTCAATTACCACAATGCGCATGATATTTTTTTGAGTAGCCAAGGAAAACAAGATTCACACCATGCATTTTTGTTAAGATAAAAAAATATCTCTCAAAAGCTGGAAACTAAAAAACGTTTTCCACTGCCGTTGGCGGCGCAATGCGTATTTTTTTTTTTTATTTTTTCAAAGCCGGTCTTCTCAAAATGGGCTCGCGAAAATTGGCGGGGCAATATTGAAGTTCTTGCGGCATATCTTTGGAAATAAATTGAGCCACAGAAATGCATTTTCTGTCATAGGAAAGCCAATGTTTTGCGCTTTAACATAATGTACGTAACTTGAAAAGTCAAAGGTGGGGATTATTCCACGTTATGATATAGCAGGTCACATTTATCTTTATTACGAAAATCTTGACACAGCTGCATACCAACGAAGGTCGTTGTTATACTGGACCCTTTGCAATTCACTTACGTTCGTCAGTATGTCAGAATGATTCTGTTAATAATTTGTCATCACAGGAATGTATTTAAAAAATGCTGGTATAGACTTATTAATTAAATTAAATGCATGGTTTACAAGTTTAATGGCAAAGGAGCATACAAGAAACGGGTTTCTAGAAAATAGAAGAATTTGCGGCTGGTATTTTTTTTTCAGATTCACATTCCAAATTTGTACGATATATACTCGATTATAACATATTCCTGAGCTATACAGGCTGTGTAACGATTCATTAGAATTGAAATAACAGTGATGCTATGGTTAGGCTACACTGAGATTAATTACCCATATCTTCCTTTCACCAAGAATTTCAAAAGCAGTTACAATTTATTTACGATAGCATAGTTTTTAAACAATTTGTGCTGCGTTCCCACTATACTCATAATAATTCAGATCGTTATATCATTATGCCTTTTTTTATTTAAACAAGCTGTGTAAATAGCACTGCAGATTGGGGGTGTGTCTTAACCCACTGGTACAAGTATAACATTGTGTTACATTGTGTTTTTCAATAAAGAAGTCTGGATCCCGCGATAGTTGTTACTGAATCACTTTTCCTGCATGTACATTGGCTTCTAAACCACACTCATCAGTACCACGGAGAATCTTGACCAATCCTGTTGAACAAAAACACACAAGTATCAAATAAAAAACATTCTGGTGGAGCTGCCATAGCTACTTCGTGCCTTTGCCCGTGGTGTCTTTCATTCAATACTGCAAATCTCACTTTTTTAATGCAGTGTCGAGAGTACATATACGTCTTGCTACTATTGTATAAAACGGGCCATTCGCATCTGCACTCTATCACATCCTCGGGACCACTCTGCACCTCTCTTTGCACATCTACGCACCCTCACTCTTACTGACATCAACAAATTGCACACTGGGATCTTTATGTACAAATCTACTAACAATCTTCTCCCTCGCACATTCTCCTCATACTTCACCTCAGTTCATGAAATTCATGATTATTCAACAAGATCCCGCAATAATCTGTTTGTTCCCTTCACTCGCACCTTGTATTCTATCAACACCCTTCGGTTTTACGGTCCTTGTTTATGGAATGCCATCCCCAATGACATAAGAACGGAGTCGTCCGTGGGTCGATTTAAGATCTCTTATAAACGCGTCCTCCTCTCCCATTATGTAACATAGTTTTATTTCTCTCCTTTATATCTCTCCTTTATTTCTCTCCTTGTTTATTCACGTTTGAAGTCGTCATCGGTTTTTGAATTGATATTTTTTGTTCTTATTTTGTTTGTTCTTTTTGCCGTTAGCTATCGTCGTGTAAGTCTTTTGTCTTGTCTGTCTCGTCCGTGTGTTGTTATCATGTTGTTTTTCTGTTGTTATTGTTGTCTGTAAGGGCTGTTTTCTACAAGCCTCGGCTTACTTAAACAGCCCAATACTCCTTAGTTTCTTTTGTACATTAATCGAAATAAGTTTAACATTTCTTCATAGCGTATCTTACTGGTATTAATTTTCTTTTTTTGAGACATATTTATTTATTTGTTATCTTGTTATCTACCAGATTTCTTTTTTTTATTGATGGATGTATGCTCTAAAGGAGTATGGAATAATTGTTTTCTTGAATTGAATTGAATTGAAGTGATCAGGTGAAAACGAGGAAACGACCCTGCGAACGAGGTTTGTACTGACGTCTCACCGATACTGCCATCTTGGATTTATTTTATTAGACGCGTGGGCAAACTTTGCCAACGTGAACCTGTTATACATATTACACGTCACATTTTATTTATGTCTGTCCCATGACCACAAAATGTAACCACACTTTCATGTTACTTGTGATTTCTATTACAATGCTTCAAAGGTTTCGAGATACGAAAACGAATTCAAATAGAGACATTAACAGATAATTACGATATCAAGGAATACAAAGAAGTAAGTCCAAGATGGCGGGTAAATGGAGTCTTTGCAGGGAGTCATCCCCGGTGCTCCTGTTTTCCTCATACAGGCGCCCTTGGATTGACAAGAAAGTACGCAAAAGTAAATTCTGCCTCACCTTTATCGCCCCACTCAGAGTTCCAGGAGTTAACACAGAGCCAATATTTCTGATTGTTCTCCACGCCCCAACCTATGATCTTGACCGTGAGCAGACCAACTCGAGTCTCTGTCTTGTGTTGATACACACCTTCAGGTTTAATGCCAATTAAAAGCAATGCACAACTCGTTAGAACGGTTTGAATGCTGATAATTGATAATTGATAATTTGCAATTTGGCTGCTTTCATTTGAATACACTTTAATGGATTATTTGGGGCCGCATTATAAGTCTGACGCCTCATAGGTTCGACGCCTCATCAGTCCGAAATTTCGGACTTATGAGGCGTCGGACTTGTGAGGCATAAATTCTGCCTAATAGGTCTGACAATGGACGAACGCTGTTTTGGACTTATGAGGCGTCGGAGCTATGAGGCGGAATAAATAATTGTTAAGCCTCATACGTCCGACGCCTCATGAGGCGTCGGACCTAAAAGGCATCGGACCTACGAGCGGACCCCATTTATTTTGCTTGGTATGCGCGCTCACATACCTAAGTCAGACAATTATGAACGTAAATCGTGCATGCAGGTTGACAATTCTATATTCACAGTTCACATGCCATGTCTCATGCTGTAAATTTTACTGAGAGTTCACACATTTCATGTTTACATACAAATAAAGTAACATCACAGTTTTGTTATTCGATGTTGCCTTATTATCGATCCATTTCTTCTCCTCATGACCAATTCACCCCTCAGATGTATGAATTATAGGGACAAGTTAACTTACTACTATTGGCTGCCCTAACCCGACGTATTCAAGTCTGTTTTGGACAAAAACGTCTTACAGTGCCCTATTGATAAAACATGTGGCTCGATTGTGCAAGGTTTACCTGATCGGTAGTTCAGAAAATCTTGGTAGAGATTCATGTCCGCTGACACGGGGCCGCTAGTCATAATGTCCTCCTGAATAATAGTCTCGTTAAGTGGAAGATCGTACCTATAGTCACCTGAAGATTCCCAAAACATAAACACTTATTTAAACCCTAAAGGGGCCGGTTTATTTCGACCAACTCTCAGCCCGGGGGGTGGGGGTTGGATTCCGCCGCCCGCCCTAAGATCTCGGCCATCGAGTGACGGAAAATTTTGAAAGTCGGTACATGCATAGAGCAACTCTTCATAAATATACCCAGGAAATTTCATGACCAAAGGTCATAGGGTTTTGGAATTATGGCTAATTAATTGTACATATGTATGAATGACAATTTGGGTCTGTGTACACGACGTATGTGGGAAAATTCAGTTCTCACGGCGACAACCTATCGTCCGATTTTTATGTTTTTGGTGTCAAAAGATGCGCAAGGCTCGAGGCTAAATAGTCATTAAAGCTTGGGTCCCTTTTTTTTTTAAAGGCTATCGCGGAAAAAGTCGGGGGGGGGGGCGGATTCCGCCCCGGGCCCTTTTAGGGTTAAACATTATGGTCTTCGTGTGCGAACAAAAGAGGGCGCGTTTTTGAGCTCCGTGGACGGGGGACACAGCGTGCGCGAACCGTACTGTAGGCATACTGGTTCGTGCGCAAAGTACGCACGACTTCCTGAGTGTGCAAAAGCTACAGCAAAAGCGTCTTCGCGTGGGCAATGCAATGGTCTCCGAGACTCATCTTCGCCTCCAATAACTTTGGAGACATTTGAAATACGCAGTGGATGGATCGGGAACCAGTCTAGACCATCCCCAACTCTCCGATTCTGGCCGTTGATGGGGTACTTGTGCACGGAGCGGATAAAGTATTGTTGAATGGTTTCTTGGATATAAAACATGCGCATGTGAGTGAAAAGGTATTCCATTTTATTCATAAAGGATGCCAACTATTCACTTGAGTTACTCCGTGAAAAATAGCATTTTGAAGGGACGCTTCTGATGACCGTTATTAATTAACGAAACCTCCTTAAACAACACTTCACAAAAATAAATGGGGCTTGTAACATAATGTAGGAGTCTGCGCAGTGTTCTACATTGTCCCCGAGGACCGACCGATAATTTCTGTCCTTGGGAGTTGGGTATTTTGTTGGAAACGGTCCTCTACAGATAGTTTGTGTACTTAGTCTATGGGAACGTGTTATTTTAAGGGGACAAAGGGAACACATGGCATTGTCCTCGAGAGTATAGTATAACAAGAGTGGGTTTACTCTTTAGGCCCCCCAACAAAGTCTCCGGTTTCTGGTATGCGCGCGCGTCGCCGTAGCCATGCGCGTCGGCAAAATGAAAAAGTTTTTTTTTTCAATAAAAGATGTCTAAAAACAGCCAAACTCACTGGTTTGACTGGAATCCTGCTGCTGCACAATTTTAAAGTGTTTTTAGATGGGGTGATGATCGAGAATAAGCTTTATGTGTCCTCTCCGGACTCCCATATATTTGCACTAAGTTTAGTCGGGCACCATTTGCAGTCATCAGCCGACATTTGAAGCAAAAAAGACAGGTAAAAAAAAAAAAAAGCCGCGTCGCCGCACCACTTTTTGGGCAAGCTCCATACCAGAAACCGGAGACTTTTTTTTTTGGCCTCGCTTTCTGAACATTATGATTTTTACTCAGACCATATACCTTTCTTCTTGTCCTCTGCGTACGTCTTTGTGTAGCCATTTATACAGGTTTTGTTACAGTAAGTTGAATCAGGTGGACTCTCGCACGGGCCGTAGCTACCCGTTTCGTAGTGATCGCAGGGCTTGTAGGCGTACGGTCTGCAGCCGTTGGATGTATGGTACCCGCCTCCGCTCACAAGTCCATCTAAGACCCATGTTGACCAAGCGTCAGCACTGTAGCCCCCAGCACAGCTTACAATACCAATAAGAAATAACATTTAGCATAACACAGGTATCGCAAAGCCAGTACTAGTAAACTCACTGCAGAACTTACAATCAAGCCCCAACATCCAATGGGCCGAGCTTGAAATGCTTCAAAAAATTGTCTCGAATCATTTAGCCTTAAAAAAAATCAAGTGTACTGTGACATAGGCATTTCTTTCTCATGTTTATTCCAGGATATTTATTTCCTAAAATCGTCACCGACACCACGAACTGACGCCCGGTGGTCAGCGTTGCAAAAATACAAATCGGAGAAAAACGCTTTTGAAGGTTTGACATGAATTTACTGAGTAAAATATTCCATCTATCTTAGAGGTTTTAGTATCACTTAACGTGAAAATGCAATTAAATGATTAAGATGGGTGTCAGTTCGTGAAAACCAAAAATGACGCGTTTTGGGAGAGTGCACGCACACACTGTGCATGCGTGCGCGAATTCTCCAAAAACACGTCAATGTTCGTTTTCACGAACTGACACTCCCTAAAGCCCGGTTCATACTTCACGCGAAAGCATGTGCGAAGCGAAATTCATGTCATCAACAATGGTAGACGCGACGAAGTTCGCTTCGCTTTCGCTTTCGCGTGAAGTATGAACCGGGCTTAACGCTATTTCACGCGCGCACTCTCCCAAAACACGTACATTTTGGTTTTCATGAACTAACACCCTGTGCAGGGTCTCTTTGTGGTAACACAAAATACCAGAATTGACCAATTTCTTGTAAATTTATTAGTGAATTTGCTTATTTTAGATGATTTCAGCAATTTTAACTTCGTCATGCTAAACTTCACAATACAGACTGCTGATATGTGCAAAACAAATTTTGAATTTAAAAAAAAATTGTGTCAGTTCGTGGTGTCGGTGACGAAATGTAACCCGATTTGCCCGTTGACTTACTTGTGACTGGTGTGGCGTACTGCACTTTGCAAAAGAGTGTGGTAACTATTGCAACAGAGTGTGGCAAGGTGATCGTCGTTGAAAAAAAATAATCAACCACATATCTTTTTATGACACCCAAACCAGCCCAATCTACACTCCCCAAAAAAGCTGCAAATCATTTAAAAAAAACACAAAAAAAACCAGACAGTCGGCTAAAAAAGTGTAGTTTTGATATTTTCAGAGCCTCTGGGGGTTTTGAGTGTTTTCGAGACGATACATTTTTACTCTTACCCATCAGGAACTTCATGAAACACGTTGCAGGTCACAGCGTCCGTGACAGAGTAATTAAATGGGGCGGACGGATGAACAATGCACTGTCTATCTGTCATTGCCCCAACAGCAGAGAAAGCCTGTAAACACAAAGGAACAGTCACAGCCTTGGGGTGTTGTGTTTCATTTTAATTGAGTATTCAAAATAGCTTATCCATGACTATTTGTCGAGAGCCCGTCACATATCCGGTTAAAAATTAACTGGTGGTTGGTCTGTAACACTTTTCCAGTGTCACATGAAATTTGAACTACTTTGAAATATGGTACCAGTACCGTTCTATTTATTGAACGGTCACAGTCCTCGCGTTGGCATGCACATAGCAATACTACCACTGAGTCAGTATTTCATAGTCCTATTTCACAATACAACGGCGCAGCTGCATTCTGCGTCACGAACGCAGTACGCGCAAAGTGCGCGTCAGTCTCTCTCTCATTTTTAAGAAGTTGTTTTCCAACACTCGTGAGACTGGACATAGCTAGAGGGGTGTTCCCCCACCAAAAAAAAAACACTGTTGAACAAAAACATTGGAAATTTATACTTCTTGACTTATTTCGACGGAAAGGTTTGTTTGTTTTTTTCCTTCGGCTCGGGTTATTATCAACATCCTGTCTCCAAACCGGTCTGAAACAGAGTTTTGAAACCTCTGAAGCACACATTCATTCCCTTAGCAAAATCTGGAGCAATTCGCCCATAATAAATCCAAGACAAGACAAGCCTAGTAAAGCCGGTCACAGAGTACACAATTTCTACTCCATTGAATTAGAATTCCTATTTACTGGCCGGATACAGCCTATTACATGTAATCATACGCAATACTGTCAGGAGTCGAATCAGCCAATACCTCGGCACTAGTCGGCCTTATTTCACACTACTTCCATCTTGAATATGCATTACTTCCCCGGTAGTGTCGACCGATTGTGAGACAGTACGTGCGTTTCCTTCCATAAACCAGTGACAGTAGCGCGTTTGACTCATACATATTGATGAATGATATTAAATAGTTCATAAAATTTAGTAGCCTTTACCCAGGATGCACGGCAGCGGCCTTGGTCATTGACGCGGCCGATGGACGGGCAGTTTGGCCATTTAGTACGAGCGTCAAATTCTGTGGGTATGGCACCAGCTCTATCGTATTCGACTACAGGGAGCTTGGGGGCTTTCTCCAGTGACAACCCGGCTGTGCTGAAACGATCCAGTACCGACGCAGCAGTCTCACCGGCAAAGTGGCGTCCAGCCTGTAAAATGAAGAAAACAATAAGTGTTATAAAATGTTGACTTAAAAAAGCACAAGAAGATTGCTTTCAACAGAGAGATGTTTTGGTTGCAGTAATTGTTAGGTTGCAACCATATAGGTTGCAACCATATAGGTTGCAGTAATGCCTGTTCTTACACAGAATTTATCACCAGAGGTTGCAATAATAACTACACATATGTTGCATTACATTTACACAGGTTGAAGTAAACACACAAGTCAATATGTAAGCGTGTAAATTAGTCGTGGGTTTGGCTGTCCTGTATAATGGTTATGATTTACCCTCCATGTTGTGTCCATCGAGTTGATTTTCTCCACGAGGTCCGCGGAATACTCGACAAAGTCCTGCTTGAGTGACTTCACGGGAGAAGACGACACCGCGGCCAGCAAGCCGAGAAAGACTGCAAGCAGGAGCTTCATACTGAAGTCTTGGAGGAATAAAGAAGCTCATAGAATTCCACAAGTTCAGAATCTGATAGCGTTACTTCATTGTCAACTTGGATCGTCAAACTAAATACATGTACATGTACAATGCAAATGAAAAGTTCTTTCTCTAACTTCACATCTATGAACATATAAGTAAATATTCCATCTTATAATAAACCCATCTTATAATTAACCTATAATTCCATCTTATAATAAACATATAAGTAATGAGCCTTAAGTGTTTTGGAGAACATTATAGATGTGTTTACCGAGAGTAGTTGGCACTTCCACATGGTTAGTTATGGTATTTAAAGGGAATATACAACATTTGCAAACATCGAAAAATAAAACTACCAAGTTTTTACGAAATACCTTACTAGGATGTTGGTAAATAACAATCTCAAGCATCTTGTAAAATTATGGCACCTGGTGTGAAGTCATATTCAAGAAAATGGTATGTTTGTATACATTTCCAACGGTGGTCGGCCGACCAGCGTTGGAAAAACCTAACTATTGTTCAACTACTGCTCCAAATTTACCATTTTTTCAGTTCAAATTTTGTTTGCTATAGGTTACATGTTCATGAACGGGTGCAGGCCAGCAAGACTGGTTCCCTTGGCCTTGCCTTACAATTTTCCATCATCTATAAATTGATCCATTTTATCTTTTGTGGAGTCAGGGAGCCAGACTACTTGAACATTTTTGTTTTCCTTGATTATTCCAACCTTTTCGAACACAAAACTTCACAAATGTCAGTGTAACAATATTTGATCTATTATACTAACCCCTTGAATAGTTCATTTCCGAAAATTACAGCAAAAGCCAATGATGTACATTCCCTTTAAGCAGGTGTTTTTGTGCTAGCGGAATAAATGTCTTATCGAACAAATGTATGTTTACCTTTTAGACGTAGTTTCCAACTCGGAGTAATGAAGAGAGCCTGCGCAGAGTTTGAGGAACTTGCCCAAATGGGAGCAGGGTAGTTCTATCGCGCCTAGTACCTGGTAGTATCGACTCAAAACCAACCCTGAACCCTCTTAACTTCAACCTTTAACCCAATTGACCTAGGCTACATGTAGACAAGAGATTTAGAGCAAACAGTCACAGACCAAGCACGTGCTTAAGTGTCTGGTTTAATGGTCCTAAAGTACAACTTGGTTTCAGATAAATAAAGTTGAATTCAGTGTTAACTGAAAGACTAAAGGCCGGTGTATTATTCATGCGAATTTCAGTATAAATTGAATGCGTTAGGATAACGCGGCGAGCATTTCAGTTGTTGACGTCATGAATTTCACATCGCTTTCGCTTCCGTATGAACTGGCCTCGGGGTTCAGTACACTAATTGATACATTTTGTTTGCCGAAGTGTCTCATGACAAATCGAGTCATTGATCGAATTATCAAATCGACTCCTTGATAATTTTTTTCACTGAAAACGAAAGAAATGACGTATTGTCTTTAAACGATCCAAGAAATATACGGGAAGTGTTCAGATACTTTCAGTTCTATAAGTATTCGTAGAATTAATACATACTTCTTCACCAACCATTCAGCAGACAGTGTTTTTTTTTTCTTTCGCCGTCCACATTGACTTATTACAAACAACAATTATATCAAAATGGTTTGTCTGATTACTCTCCAACAGTAAAGTTGTTAGGACCTACTTAGCATGAATATCTTAATAAGCACGGGGGCGTATGGTTTTGCTTGAAACCTGTTCTAACGAGAGCACAGGATATGTCTTCCTTTCCTGCTACCCTCTGCCTTCTAAAGGTTATGAGCTCCGTGCATCAACTATAATGAGTGCGCCTTTTTTACCAATTTTGGGAGCTGCGCGGACGGGACACGCGCTAGCGCGTATTGTACTGTACTGGTTCGCGCGCGAAGTACGCACCCGTTCCTGCATGTGCCAAAGCTATCATAGCCACAACGTTTTCGCGCGAGCGTCAGGCGTCGTGGGCGCGCGAATGCGTTTGAATTTAATTTGCGATGGTCTAATTCCCAGACTGCTCCCCGCCCCAATAACTTTGGATCATTCGAAATATGCAGTGGATGGACCGGGAACCAGTCTAGGTCTCCCCGCCCCAACTCTCCTATTGGCCGTTGAAGAGGTACTTGTGCATTGAACCCATTGATCTCCATATACACAGACTGGATAGGACATCGCGCAGTGTTTGTGCACGAATGCGTGACCGAACAATGGCGGCGTGTTGTGCTTTCACTTTGTTTACTTTGGTTTTGGGGAACATAGGTATTGGGGAACATATGTATCCACCCTTTTAGGAATTTGGAGGATTCCATACAGTCAGTTTCGGCGGCATAACAAATAAATGTTACACTCTCAGAAAAAAAAAATACACAAGTTGTGTAAAATTTAACCATGTTTTATATGTACTATACGAACTCACTTGCAATTGTGTAAAACGTTACATAATGCGTGTTGGGTAAAAGTTTCCTGAAAGTTGTGTGAAAGTTTACTTGATGTATGTGAAAATATGTGTACACATTTATTAGGTAAAAGAGGATTAAGTTAATTTTCCATAACTTTCAGGTGAAACAATACTATATTATCATGTAAAATTGTCTTTTCTAAACGTAAACAACTACGGAAGCCCATCAAAACACGACCTGTTTCATCTTAATATTATTTATTCCCTTCCCGAACTGTGCAGTATATCACAGCATTATAGCTATAAGTTGGAGAAACCATGATGTCTGTGACAACAGGTATTTGCAATAACATTTTCCTCAAGCTCTTTGTTATTGTCATACCGTCCCCAATCCATAACATTTCTTGGACACTTTGCAAGATAAGATACAACAGTACAAGATGCATAACTCATGGCCCACAGCTCGGCAACGGCGAGCATGCACGCATGGATGTATACGTGTACATAGGCCGAATACAGGTCAACTCGTACGCGAACCAACTCGTACGCGACCAACTCGTACACATGACAACCAGTTGCGTAGCCAGGAATTTTTTACATTGGGGGGGGGGGGGGCTGGGGGGGGCTGGGGGGAGCTGGGGGGGGGGGGCTGGGGGAGCTGGGGGGGGGCCTGGAACATTTTATGGGGGGGGGGTGTCATGTAGATCAATTATACTTTTTTTAAACTCAAAATCTCAGAGGGGGCGACTGCGGGGGGGACAAGGTTTCATGGGGGAGGGGGCTGTCGCCCCCCCCACACACACACACGCACCCCCCCCCCCCCCCCCCCGTGGCTACGCCAATGATGACAACTCGCGAAGGATAGTTGCAACCTGACGCCACTTTAGTGGTTGTATACAAAGTCTATGGAGAGTCTAGAACATTTTCTAAGTATTTACTAACAACATTGGAGCTGTTTCTCAGTCCTAGATTCATGTCTTATCATAATTTTTGCAATGACTGACCTTCATCGAGATGAAGAAAAACCAGCGTAGGGTTGCAACATTCTTTCCACAACGGTTACGTGGACAATTTCGTACGCGCTCCAACTCGAACACAGAATAAAACTCGTATACACAATTATATGTGAAACAGCGACCGTGAAATTAGCCTTGGTCAAGGCTCTTGTCTTTGTCCCGTACTCGGTAATCTAACGGCGGCATATCCTCGCGCGCTATGCAGTGCAGGTAAAAATACAGCGCGAACAGCGACCTCATGTGGCCACTATTTTATGCAAATCAGTTGGACCCAATCGAGAGTTATCGTTTTGCCATAAAACGTCGTTTTCACTCTCTCACACGCTGTCTATACATTTGCATTCTTCACACTTATTCGCATACCAATCAATTAGCAGCATCATGGAAACACTACTCGATCGTAATTGCTTACAATGGCAAGGAATGCAAGAACATGTCCTTGTGTATTATGTGCATGCACCGAACGCCAAATGCTTTGAAATTTAGTGGCGCGCTTTTACGGGCGGGGACAATACCGGTTTCTCATTGGTTTAAAACTTTTCGACTCGACTATGACTATGCGAAAGGTGTGTTCTACTTTCCTAGTACTGAGGTGCGTGCAAAACAAGAGAAAAATAAAGGATTTTGTAAAACACAAGTAACAGTGCACGTCACAGTATACAATGCAATTTACCATAAAAATAAGTTCATATCTTAAATCCCGACTATGGCAGATCATCACTTTCATTCATGATTACAATTATAATTAACATTCTCGTTTTTCAAAGATTCCATGGAGTAATTACTTGTGGAGAAAATCTTAACTTAATATCATAGTTTTGCTTTATTTGCTTATCAGCTAGTCGGCCGTAAAAAGGCACCCGTAAATGTTACTGATCTGAAGTTAATTTTTAATAAAATGTCAAGGCTTTTTGGTTACAGTGTCTTTTGGAAATACATTTGCTGAATAGCGGAGGAGGGAGGGGTAAATAACGTTAAAAGCCGGTCTGTTGTCGATCACGCATTAAGCTGTAAAAATGGTTACGTCATACACCGCCTAGGTCACGCGTTGCCCCGGCTGATATATCCAAACACACGTATGCCCAACGTAGTGATAGGCACGGTGCCCACAGGTTTTGACTCGAGCTCGAGTTGCTCGAGCAGTAGAAATAATAAATATATGCAGAGTGTGGACGGCCTAAAATTCAACGGGTTAAATAACAGTATTGAATTTGGTGGGTGAGAAATATCCTTTAAAATTCTACCTGAATGAAGAGCGCGACACAATTGGAATCGAGAATTATATTTTGTTCGGCAGAAGCAATACTTATTTGAATGCCACACTTGACAGTTTAATCGTCACATTTGACAGTTAAATTGTTCGTGCGTATCGCGTAAACGACTGGCGACCACTGTGAACAATGTCCATGAACAGTATGGCTCCTTGCACAAGTACCCCCTCATCGACAAGAAAGGGAGAGCTGGAGGAATGATCGGGAGAGCAATCAAAAGCATTACCGACTCAACTCAGACAAAACGAAAGAAGAAAGAATGAAATGTACAGTTACACAATTAATTTACTTCACAATTTCACCAACATTATGAACAGTC